TTTCTTGTTCCTCCTTTCTTGAATCTTATCCAGTGTATCAACAGTGATCCATTCCTTGTGATGGTGCTTCTTGTGGCCCAGGACCTCATGACATGTTGAAGTGACTGCCTCTTTGATCCCCTTCCAGTTTCTCTCCATAGTAGTTCCTTCTCCATTGTGTAGGTCATGAAAGGCCTGGAACTTATTGCTGAGGACTATCTTGAATTTGTTGAGTTTGTCAGTATCCTGAAGAAAGGCCGTATTGAACTTTTGTGATGTTGTCCGCCTCATTGTCCAGTGCTTCTTGAGTTTCAATTTCATCTTGGCAACCAGCAAGTGATGATCTGATGCTATATCAGCTCCTCTCTTGGTTCTCACGTTCTCCATCGTCCACCTGAACGTTTTGTTGATGCAGATATGGTCGATTTGGTTTCGCGTGGTGTGATCCGGTGAAGTCTATGTGATTTTGTGAATGTGTTTATGTGGGAATATAGTGCCGCCTATGACCAGTCTATTGAAGACACATAGGTTTGCAAATGTCTCACCATTTTCGTTCCTTTCTCCCAGTCAGTGTCGTCTCATGATGTCTTCATATCCGGTGTTGTCCATTCCAACCTTGGCATTTAAATCAGTTTAGAATATGTTAATCACTAACTGATTACATAATATCAGAAGAGGTTTATTGTGGATATTATAGCGATTTTAATAGTTAAGATCATGAGTCAATTGAATCTAGAGTACCATGAAAAACATCGAAGCACTGGACGGCCGTTTCGTCCTAGTATAGGACTCCTCAGCAGTGTGCATACATGATCCCACCTCATGAGATTCGATCTATCAGTCTCACGCGCGAGCGCTTAAACTCTAGACCACTGAGCCGGCATCCAACGCTGTTGATGTTTATCTTCAACCAATCCGCGAAATTGAGCCACTGTCCACCATTGTCTTCCGTGGGTTATTATCTCACAACAGACCCGGTTGAATTCCACTGGTTACTGCTTCTCACTAGAACTCCAGGAAATACCTGTTGAAGCCAGTCACTAGTGAACACTGCTGAGGAGTCCCACAATAGGACGAAACGACTATCTAGTTCTTTCAGGTTTTCCATGGTGATCCATCTTCAATTGACCCATGATCTCAACAATGATTACATAATAGTTAAGTCTTTTTTCTTTAACTTTTACTACTGATTAAAATCAAAATGCTCCAAGATTTATTTGATAATTTTATTTTAGAAAGAGAGTGACTATTTTAATAAGTTCACAAGTAATGATGAGTATACTGCTTAAAATACCAATCGTTTACCTTTACAGTTAGTTATTTATATGGAATGTAAATACTTTTTAAAACAGCTAATTTGTTTCATAAGCTTGCTATAATTTAAATACTGTGATTCAGTTACCCTAACGACAATGTGGTCGTTAATATGGTCTTGAGGTTTCAGGTTTGAAACACAGGTAGTTTAACGATTTTTATACTGGTAAATAACAAATTATTCTGAATAGAAATTGGTACCATTATAGCAACTATCCTACAACCAGTTGCTATTATGGTTAATTTTTGGGTTAAGCCCATTTATGAACTTACTAAACAGACAATGTTATTTGAACAGTAATAATTCGCATATTTTTTTGCAGAGTTATGATCACTAGATCACATGACAGACTCTAGCTCAAATGTTGATTGCTTAAATATCACTCAATGATTCATCCACCTCCTCATGTATATATGTAGTCGAATCACAATATTAGATTTTGTTTTGCCTTACTGCGCCCTTATGCAATTTGACTAGAAATTTGTCTATGCAATTGCTCGTATATACTTATTCGCCTCTCCGCTTCAGATTTGCTCGATGTGCTTATAGATTTGTGATCTGCGCTTTAGTTGACTCCTCTCGTTTCCGTCTGTTTGAAAACACAGTTGATGTGTATATAATAGCGGTTACGAGGCTGATTAGTTAACGGAGCAAAGCCACTACACCTTTTATACACCTAATTATACAACACCTTTTATACAGCAAAGACATTTCGTGATTCCGTACTTCAGTTACTAACGCTCTAAAGGTCATAACAACATATATTAGAGTTATGCGTTAATGAATACGACAATGCTAAGGTACAGGCTATCTAGTTGACCAGTTACGTTTCACTTAACAAATCACCTAATAACTATCTACGTATTTAAATAGCCTTTTTAAATCTATTGAAGAGGAAAGTAATACTACAGAATAGTTATAAATCTGAAAAAAACACGCATATTTAATAAATGGTGAAAACGAGACTGAGAGAGATAAACGGAGCTAAGAAACTGAGCAATTAATCATTGCACACATAGTTAGGGTCTGCTATCTAATCGATTTTAACTTGTTATGACTAGTGTTAGCACAATCTTTACTGATTCGAAATATTTTATCTACCTTAAAATAGTCTCGGATATCAGGTCTTACAATATACAAAATTACCATTGTGTTCGTATGAGTGTTGGTCAAAAAGCATCTATCCTATGTCTCTTCACTACTTCATGTCCACTGGTTTAATAAAAGGTATTATCAAAACTTTTAGTAGCTTGACTTTAGCTCATTTAGTACATACAGCCGTCACAGAACAATCATTTACAATGATATATCGTGTTTTAACAGCAATCTGCCTGAATCCTTAAGACGGCTAGAGAAATAGCTACTCGGACTAGAAAGGCGGAGCTTCGCGTACAGAAGAAATATGAGCAACCATTCCTTATACCTTTGCTAACTTCTGGTCTGTTTATTTAGTAATTTGATGATATGGTGACGTAATTCGATTGGTACTCATACCACCTCCCTCTTTGCATTTTCATAGCTTAAACGTATGTTAATCACATATATTATTATCATCACTATTGTTATTATTAATATTATAACACTTGCAAATGCTTTTAGAAATTGATTCACTATCCATCCCCTGTTTATTAAATCAAAACTAATTCATATTATTCTACATATTACATGATTTCTGACTTGTAATTAGATTATCATCTCCCCATTCAATGTTCACTATATTTATTCTAATCATAAAGCTCACACTTTCATTTGACATATAAACTTATTCAAGTCAATACTTCATACTAGTTATCCTGACACTAACGATTATTTTATTTTACAATCCTAAATTCATGTGCTATGATTTTAAACAATGTATTTTGTCTTAAATGTAGTGGCTGACATTATTACCATGGTTACTGTGAATCCAAACCCATAATAATAAAAATTTAGGGGTACAGTTATAAATATTTAATAATAAGCGATTGGTTAATTTGTATTTTAAACTATGTACTCATGTAATTAAGAACACACTTTTCGTTACCTGTAATAGTTTTTTAATCGGCTGTCAATAGTTCATTACTGTAATCTGATTAGTTGAGACTTAACTAGCATAGACTGTTTTGATTGAATGTTAAAATTTACATTTTTACATTAGAACATTTCTACTTTTAAAAAAAGACTGTCAGAAGGTTTCAGTGTCCTGAAATATTATCATCGTAACTTGAGAAAAATGTTACATAAAGTATATTCGCATGCCATAACGATATAAGTCTTCTTTTCATTTAAATAAGTACAAAGATCATTCTGGTGTAAATATTGTTGAAACCTAGTCGCTTTTCTTGATTATTAATTTAGATATATAATTGTAGAATTTGAAGAGAATTTCTTGAAAAGAATATTCTTCTCAAGGATTTTGTCTCTTTGACTAATATCAATGGATGCATGTATGTGCCTGGTGCTACGTTGTAAAAGATTGACTGACTGATCAATAGAAATTGTTTAAGAAGACAATGATAATATTGTTAAGTATTTCTACTCACCGAGCTGTTTTTGTAGTTGTAGTGGTATGTATGGTATGGTGTATGGTATGTGATGAAAATGTATATAATGTGCTGAAAAATTTCGTATTGTTCGTATTTCTTTTTAATTTTTCGTACTAGCTAGCATTGTGATTTCCATCGCTTGTAAAGGCCACTGCTAGATGTAATTCCTTTGTCGTTGTTTTTTCAGATTGTAGATAGTATAGGAATAGTTTTCGCTAACTTAAAATGAAAATATGATATAGCACTCTTAAACTAAAAAAAAAACGCAAGACCCATAGATTTATCCAAACCGTTAAGTATATTGGTTTAAACAATTCAAATATTAAATGATTCTCAGTGTTTATGTTACAGATGAACTTGTTATCTGTTCTATTAATCTAAGTAAATAACAATTAGTAGAATCGTGAAACCGAACCGGTTCATTTGACATCTGACAACATATATCATCTGTAACAGATTTAAGATGTATGGTTACTCATTCAAGTGTAGTGACCTACTTTTATCAAGAGAACGCGATTGGTATAATGGAAAACAATTATTATTATAACCAATTGTACCAGTGATTGTTTTACCGTACTTGTTTGTTTAACTGTACTAAAAACATACATTCTTCCGTTGACTGTGACCTTGCACGCATTCGTTTACGCTCAGTAGTTCCACTTGTACTCTTTGGCACGATCTTGGAATTATTTCGATATCACGAGATTGCCAAAAAATATACCTTATTACAACCATTTACTGCCTCCTGGTTTTTGGCCTACGGAGGGATCTAAAGCAGTAACTGGCACGTGGTCTCAGTGTAGTGGTGATCATAGTCAACCGCGACTAGACACCATGCTACAACGCTACAAAAGTAACAATTTTTTATCTGGCTTTAATTGTATGGTTTAAAATATATTTCACTCATTATTATACAACCAGTTTTGAATTGTGGCATAAACAATAGCAAATAAATAAATCTAATGGAAAAAATTCTGTATCTGAATAGACTGAAACTACTGAGAATAGTGGATGAAGATTAATCTGTATTGTTCTCTCCATTTGTTGATATCTTAACATTACTTCTGTTGTTGGTCTCCTTTTAAAGTATGATGATTTGTAATCTGTTGTTGTTATGATTGATCAGAATCACTTATTACTTATACTTATAAAAGGATGAACCACTGTAATTTTCATGATGGGAAATAAAAACACCAAGACTAGTACAAATGATGATTTATTGAACTTAAAACACAACAACCCTAATCGAAAATAAACTTATTTCTATATTGATTGTATACCCATTCTAATTAATGATTAGGATGAAATCATATATATGAAAAATACCCAGAGTTATAATTGAATCACATGGTACATGTCATGCTGAACATAGTTCAGGTCAATTGAATATTAGAATATCGTATGTTATACGAGAAAACAAAACCAAATACTACATTGAGTAATTATCATATTAAATTAAAACGGAAGTAATGTTGAACAAAGATTACAATGAGTAAAAGAATGTAATTTTGTTTTTTAATCCCGTCATATCAACGCCCTTTCTTTTTTAATGAATTACGTAAGAATACTTTTTCCGTGGAGAGCCTATTCGAAAGGTTGTTGTACTTTTTCGTACTCGCTGGGATCTCATCCGATCATGCTTCAGCTTTTTTTTTAGCTTCATTTGAAAAAGAAATCTATTGAACCATCTGATTTTTTGTTGTGTTCATTCGTTCAATGCATATATGATTCTTCCTCCACCACGAAACAACGTTAGATCTTCACATACGCACGTTACAAATAATGTGACTATTGATCTGAACTGTCTCGACACTACTTACGCTTTCATCATATGGAAGTATAAGGGGTGTGTTGGTATACATAAAGGTTGAAGGAACCTTTTGTATGATATTGACCTGTATGGGTAATAATATAATTGATGATTTTTCCATCGTTCATTCCATTCACAATACGAATAAGCACATTTTACATTTCGATTTGTCAGTAACAATACTTGTGATTCATGTTGGCTTGCTTTTTCTCCAAAGCATTTGAACAGGACATTTATATGTGCTTCATAACAATTCGGATCAGTAGGTGGCTGTAATCTAAATACAGGTATATCACAATTGTAATGACTTTGAAGTATTGAAATAAGGCTTACCTTTTTGTATATGACATTCACTTTGTCCAAATAAACGAGATAGATACCAACAGATTTGCCGAGTATTTTTAGATAGCTACAACAAATCCTGAAATTTGATGACTTATCATACAGTTTTCCAGAAACGCTGAATGTTTTATGCAATTTGATCATATTTAACATTTTTGGTGATGTGAAATTGACACGCTTTTTATCTTCGTTTGACCTCAGATTCCTGAGGTAAGTATGAACTTTTGAACCAGTGTCAGGTTCAGCCGCTTTCATTATAAATAAATCTTCAATTTTACCATCGCAGACATTAAGCCTTACCTTGAATTTCGAACTGCCAAACTTGGAGACTAAATTTAAATTTTTCCACTGTGTGAACGACATCACTTCTGGGTATCTTGGTTTCAGTACTGTTTTGCAAATACTTGTTATATCAAATGATTCATCATAGCATTGAGTAGGGATTCTACGTGACACATATGAAGTATGAGAGCAACCAACATCTGCTACAATAACATTTGAACTGTGACTCATTTAAAACATATTTCTCACACTGACTAGGAGTCAACGGATTGTGAGGATAAATAACATTTGATATGGAACCATAAAAACTATAATTAAAGTTGAACTTATTGAGAATTTGCGGTTCATATTGACCAAGGTTTTCACTAGAAACAAATGCACTGTGAGAACAAGCAACATTTATTATAATATTGCTAGAATTAGATTCACTTGAAATATTTCTCTCAAATTCATTAAGGACTTCATTAAAAACTAATGAATCACTAAGACTGTCAGCAACTAATATAACGTCATTAGAAATTTTATCAGATATTGATTCATTTGAAACCTTTGTCTCACAGTAGTTTTGAATTTCACTCTACGTGATTGGATAATTAGAATGATAGGAACATTTGAAAAATGCCGGGAGTTAACCTTATTAAAGGGTTTGTTGACCTCTTCCTCAATCACAAAACTGTTTTTTTATTGCAGAAGGAAATATATCAGTTACTTCGTTAAATATATCTATAGTTTCTGAGTACGATTCCGGATAAGATTGCTTAAGTGTGTGTTCTTTCAATGCACCGATGAGCATTAAATGAGATCTCATGAACACGCTTTCCTAAAATTGAAGCATTGATTTTACTTCTGCAACTGATGTCAACATGTTCTTACACCAGTAACCTCGGCGTTTGTTGTAACAGCAACTTGATAAAAAAAACCCAGAAGTATATTTATAACTGAGGAAACAGGATTTGAGGTAAGTCGAACTGGCAACTGAGCTATAACTGTGACCAGACAGTCATACTGGAAACTGAAACTTGTGAATTGACTCCGTCAGCGATTGTTTTGGCTTTCTCAAAATTCCTGTCGCTAATTCGTTATGGTCGTCAATGATTGTTATGTCGGAATCACTTATTACTTATACTTGTAAAACGAGGAGCCACTGCAGTCGTATTGATGTAATACATCACAGTGTCATCGTCATAATATTTTTTGAGTTACCAATCGTGTTTTGGCTCTGAATTAATTTATAGGACTATAAAATATCCTTGACTAAATCAGTTTATACTATTTTTGTTATAACTTTTAGCCTTATGTTAATATATAACTTAAAGATACCGTCAATTAGAGAACAGTGACTTATCAACCGAACCAATGACGCATAAACCCGTACGAGCAGTCTAGAGTCTTTATCGGTCATTCTTTCTGCCTAACCCCACCCGTTAAGAACAGAACACCAATCTCATGTATTTCAAACATACTAGGTTTATATTACCAACCAAATAGACCACATCACATCATAAGATAGAAAATAACATTTGTACAAGATATGGTCAAAAGTAGCTATGAATATAGGAGATAGTAATTAATAGACTGGGTATAACTTAAGAATGGTAAATCGTACAATAACAGTTTATAGGTCAAAATAAAGCTTATAATAAGAGGAATATGAATATACGTGATTTAGTTACTTAACAATTACACAATAAAAATATATGTGTAGTATTGGTCCATAAATAGATTCCAACAGTTACTATTCATTATGCTCGTCAAGATATATAAATTTTCATGAAGATAATGGAGATATTCCCCTGTGAATATATCCTATTTTCAAAAGTCATTCAACTCAGTAAATAACTTTAATATCAGAATGGGTTTTGTGGAGATTTTAGAAATTTTACTGGTTGAAATCACTAGAACTGGATGTGCACTGCTGAAGAGTTCCATACCAGGACGAAACGGCCGTCCAGTGCTTCCAGGTTTTCCATGGTGGTCTAGCTTCAATTGACTCATGATCTGAACCGGTGAAATAACTTTATGTAATAATTTTGTAATACCAATATTTCACTGGTATCAAAAGTTATCTACACTAATTAATTGATCGATACTGATCATAATTAATTTCAATGAATTTATTCAATTCGATGTCAAATCAATTATTCAACTGGTTATTTATTTACAGTTGACTGAATCAATAATTTTCTCATGTATATTAGAAAAATATTTATTTAGTAAGATTTTTAGTAGTAACAATAATGACAATAATAATAATAATAATTAATGATCGATACAATTTGGAAATAAGTATTCTCTGCTAATTAGAATTGTAATAGTCTCTGTTATCTTTATTCACAAATCTTTGAATTATTATTATTATTGGTTAAACATCGTTATTAATCTCCCCAATGTATGGTTCATTTATTTGTCATTCATCCCGTCTTATTATGTCTTACTAATGATTTTTTTACACAATATAGTCTTCCATCAAGCATTTGATCGAATTGTAATTGTACTATTATTTCTTTCATCCTATTTTGACCCATATTTATTCTGATCATGGATCTTAAATTTCCACTTAGCATATAAACTGATTCCAGTTAACATTCCATATGAGTCATGTCAACATTAACAATTTTATATTCTATCTTATTTATTTTGTTTGACAATCCTAAACTTTACTCCTAACCTGGCGATTTTTTGGATTAATAATTTGGATATATAATTGTAGAACCTGAAGAGAATTTATCGAATAGAATATTTTTCGTTCAACTACTAATCTTTTACTTCTACTGTTCATTAGGTCTCGATAATTCTTTTTAATCTGCCTTCAGTTATTGTACATTCGGTGAATTTCCTAACAAAAAGTGTGATTACTAATGATTGTTTTAAGATTTTTATATATGGTATCACATCCTTGATAACTGTTAGAATATATTTCTTCGTTTGTTTTATTGATTTAATTTGAAATAAATATTAGTCGATTGAATTCGAGTTCAGAACTTTCCACTCATTACTTTTGATCTGTCCTAATATCATTGAACCTACTTAACGCTAACTACAAATAGCAGATGGAAATGGTATCTAGAAATAAAAAGTGTATACGAAATCTTTTCCATTAAAAAATGTAGTCAGGTGAAATAAATAATTTTCAAGACGTTACAAATAATGCAACATTCTTCATCACGCCATCGCTTACTTTCAGCTGTACAAAATTTACTGGCCTAGATGCATCCATAGTAAACTAATTAATCAATAAAATTTATTCTTATTATTTATAGACCTAGGGACGAAGCTAGAACAATAATATTGGTGATCAAAAGATCAGTTAATAATTGTGAAGATATCACCATAGAATTCTGAAAATAATTTGGTATGATGAGAAAGAGTTTATTACCCTATTATGGAATAAATATGATATCACATAACTACAATGACATTTGGAATACTCACCCATTCTAATCTAGTTTGTATCAGTAGTGTAAATCAATGAAGACTGATTCTTTTACGCTTGTTTACAGTCAGTTCTCAGGTTAATCGCACTACCAGTAATGTGACAAATAATTGGGACTATTCGAGTGTGTCAATATATAAATAAATTATAATATAATCAATGAATTGATATCTAACAACTTAATGAACTGTCCATTTAGCTTCTACATGTATTCATTGGCTGGTAGGTGGAATAATCAATGTTGCAAGGTTATTTAGACAGTCTCTCCAAGTCAATAGTTCACTAAGCTTTCTCCTATTCTTTTTCTACATAATATCAAATATCAATTCATGATAGCTGTTAAAAACAAACTGCCTTACGGTTTTTACTACCTGTTTTCAATATGATAAACAATAAGAATAGTAACAAATAAAAAAATCATTTATTCTCTTTCTATTCTTTCCTCTTGATATTCATATGTATATTTGCATATATACATCATGTGTTAGATGTGTTGATTATAAAAAAATAACACACAACAAATTTTGAAAAGAAAACTAACTACTAATTAGTAAAGTTGAAATCATCAAATATACGAGAAATATTTTTTAAAAATAAATCTGTATATGTTTGTATGTACCTTTTTTATATGCTTTATATGCTACAAGAAGAAATAACTCAATATGTCTGTAAACAATTAAATGGTAATAATTTTATCAGTTGTAAACAAACAAAGAAAAAATGGATAGTGTATATGTTGTAACTGAAGTATGAAATAAATGAAAATACAATTTAATAAGAAAACAACTTATAGTTTTAGAAAGAAAAAAGAAACTGCTATAGATGTGATCTTGTGGAAAGGGAGAGAGATAGGTTGACAAGGATATAAACCAAAATAAGGAAATAAATAAATAATTATTAACCTAATCAAGAAATATATGAAATTGTTTATTGATTCTCTGTTCTCTTTGTTTTATTCTTATTTTAAAAATCTGCAACCATAGTTATGTATATATGTACATGTAAATACGTTTTAAGTGTATCCATGCGCAATGGTGCATCATTTCATTAATATGAAAGTTGTATATTAGTAGGAATAAAGAGAGTCAGTAGTCTATTATTTAAAAAAATATACCATTTATTAAGAAGTAAAAATGATGGTGACAATGATGATTTAGCTTGAAAAATAAACATTATTATGTGATTGATGTAAGAAAGATTAAACATTCAATGTATGCTTATACAACTTGATAATGATTAATAATAAATAATCCATATACCTAGTTAAGTGATAAAATCAATTCTTGTTCAAATACAAAAGGCAAACATTGAATAATTTAAAGAATTAATAAATAGAATAAAAATAATTGTAAATTCTATTTTGTTATTAGAAAAAACACTACTTCGATATCCCTTAATGGTATCAATTAATGATGGGTCTAATTAAAGAATATTACTAGTCATTTGAAAAAAAAAGTTCATTTATGCGCAAAATATAAATGATAGAAAGAAACTAATCCGAAAAACACACATATACATAAAAAGAAAAGAAATTATTAGATCATATAAGTTTCTGTTAATAGAATAAGTAATTCATGAATATATGTTGACTTATAAAAAGGAATTAACGAAAGACTAATTTTATTTCGACTACTAACTAACCAATCAATCAAACTGTTCTATTGTATAACATTTTAATTGAGCATCAACGGTTCACATAATATTCAGTTGTTTATACACATTAATATTATTATGCTGTAGAAAAAAGATAAATAAAAATAAACACCAGTAAATATAAATTACAGAAGGGTTTTTGTGGATATTATAATAATTTTTAATAGTTGAGATGATGAGTCAAATGAAGTTAGACCACCACCGAGTCAGTTGTGAAGTAGTAACTCACTGATGACAATGGTGGATGTGTCGCTCAATTTCGTGGATTAGTTGAAGTTAGACATTAACACCGTTGAATGCGGGCTCAGTTGTCTAGTTGGTTAGGTGCCTGGGTTCACACCCCGCGAGTCAGGGTCGTGGATGCGCGCTACTGGGGAGTCCCACAATAGGACGGAACGGCCGCCCAGTGCCCCCAGGTTTTCCATGGTGGTATAGCTTCAATCGACTCATGATCTCAACTGTTGAAATAACTAGTAACAATTTTGATTGTTAAACACTACTAAGAAATACTTAAGAAATGATTTATTTTATAGATGAATATGGAAAAATGAACGTAATACAAAGGCGATAACTGAATACAAATTTATTTCTCAAAGATATGGAAGAATTCAATTAAAGAATCATTATCAGTTTTCCAGGCACAAATTAAATACCATTACCGTTCGTTGATATTTCAAATGTGTATTAAACTACTAATAAGTAGTTACAAATCTAAGATAGAAAATAGGTCAGTCAGAAACTATGAAAATCAGTGTATATATATAACAAGAGTTCTCGTTATCTAAGTTTCGCAAAATATTGTTACTGATATTGCTTCGATATGAATTATGTAGAAAGTAGAAGAAAAAAAATAATCCATGAAGTATGATGGATCTTTATGGTTCAGCTGTTGTCCCTACCCGATTTAAAATGAAGTTTCTAATCTCTAATATCCATAAAAGCGAACAGAATGTCGTTTTATCACAAAAATAGAAATGTGACGTACCTTCGTCACTTCTGTCTTTCAGAAATATTCAAGTGTAACATATCCAGTTTTTCAATAAACACTTACAATTGTAATTTTTTCCACTTTATAATAGCTTGGTAAAACCACGTTCTTGTTTATTCTTCATCTTTATTTTCATCAAGTAAAAAATAAGTCACCATACTTTTCATCCTTATGAGCTTTGCAATTTTAAATTATTGGTCAACTTCTTTTGGAGTTTTTAAGTACTTTATCTATGACATTATACCAATCCATTTTTCAACAAACTACTGAATGTGTTAAATAAGTAACATTATCCAAAATAAAATTCTCTTCATTGATTTATCTTCGGTTTTTTTTCTAACGCTATTCCGTTTAATACCTACTAATCTTAATTAACTCTTGAAAGTGAACATTTAAGTAAGTGAACTAGTTTTTAAGAAACGACATGTTACTTGAATATTTGAGTGAATGAAAGTGATTGCATAACAAAGAACATGATATTTGAAGTATTGATCAAGAAACTTGAAAGTAAAAAAATTTTGTCTGACATTATCAATGTATATTTTCTACCAATAACAATAGAAAACTAGTGAAGATAATACAAAATGATCTGGTCACTTCGATAAGTTAGTAGTACAGAATAAATAAAAAAAACCCAGCCCAAGTAAATTAATAAGTATCGCAGAGTTTATGTTTACAGATAAATTGAATTTTATTTTTCTCGAAACCTTATAATAATGTTTCATTTCTTTCATTTATCACACAATAAACTAAAAGTTAATTCTTTTTTCTTTAAGTTTTTCTTTATTTAAGGTCATCCATTTTTTTTTATCATTTTGCGAATCTCATTATTTATTTTTCTAGTAAATAAGCAACTGTTTAAATTTGTTCTCTATATAATGATCAATAAAATGGGTAAAACCAGTTTTATTGATTTTCCTTGTGTACTTATAAACAAATCGATTTGTGAATGATATATATTTTCAACATTTTACTAGTCACATTAAGTAATTATCCGAATCAGTCAGAATGTAATAAAAAATAATATGCAGTTAATTATACTGTTAAGGATAGTTGTGATTGACTTATGTAAATAAATTATAAAAATGAAACATTAATTAATGTCGAAAATCAGCGTCAAATTATTCACAATGACCCGAGTATTTTCAAATTTATTTAAAATGAATATGTCAAAAGTTACAGTTAAACAATCACTATACAGTGACCAAAATCATGTTTGTCTAGTCCTTTATTGCAGATCTAATTTCATAGATTAAGGTACAGAGTAGTCCAAGTGACTTGACATTTTGTGAACTGTTCAGAGATGCAAGTTGTTTGGAAACAGTGATCTTGCTTTTCCCTTTGTGTATGTTGAGACCTACTGCTGCTGAAGCTGCTGCCATACTGTTCGTCTTCTCCTGCATTTGTTTTTCCGTTTGCGATAGGAGGGCCAGATCATCTGCGAAGTCTAGATCGTCCAGCTGCATCCTAGATGTCCACTGTATCCCATGCTTCCACCCCAATGTTGACGTCTTCATGATCCAGTCGATCACTAGGAGAAAGAGAAAGGGTGAGAGTAAGCAACCTTGTCTGACACAGGTCTTTACTTCGAACGAGTCTATGACCTATCCTCCATGCACAATTTTGCAGTTTAATCCATCATAGGAGTTCTGTATGATATTGACTATCTTGTGAGGCACACCATAGTGTCAAAGGAGCTTCCATAATGTTGTTCTGCCCACGCTATCAAATGCTTTTCCGTAGTCAATGAAGTTGATGTAGAGTGATGAATTTCATTCAATCGATTGTTCTACAATATCCTTAGAGTTGCGATTCGGTCTGTACGCGATCTATCCTTACGAATCCAGCCTGTTGGTCTCAAAGTTGGGCGTCTACGGAATGCATCATTCTGCTTAACAACACTCTGTTAAAGACTTTACCTGGTACTGAGAGGAGAATGATGCCTCTGTAATTTCCACACTTGCTATGATTGCCTTTCTTTGATATCTTGATCAGGTGTCCTTCTTCCAGATGTATTAGTACTTCTTCTTCATCACAAATCGTGCTAAAGAGAATGTTGAGCATCTTTTCAGTTACTGCTGTGTGTGCTTTCAGTGCTTCGGCTGGAATGCTGTCTGGTCCCATCGCTTTACTGCTCTTGGTTTGTCTGATGGCCGCCTATGACCAGTTTGTTGAAGGCACATAGGTTTGCAAATCAAATTATCAGACATATCCACTGCTAACCGAACTCTGACGAAGTTTTAATTACATCCAGCTGTTGAGTACATTTTTACCTAGACTTCAAATGAATAAATCAATCTACTAATAAAAATCGCTTAACTTTAAACTTAATACTACCGAATTGAATTCCATATAAGGATAGGCTATTTGTCAAATGATATTTATGGTAGTCAATCAATAATGTTAGTCAAGTGAGCAAAGCAGTGTTAAAACATCAACATTGTGTTATATATTTCGAGGTACAAGTCAAGAAGCACTCAGACTTTCTTGTTTACTAATTCTTATCACCAAAGTAAAATCTCATTCTCTAGAAAATGGCATTTGTATTATCTCTTGCAAAAAAAATTACGAAGATAACAAAGGCAACTCTTATAAAATGTTAACTGTCACAAGCAACAATGAAACAGTTCAACTTTACTAGTAATCAATATATACACATAATTGTACAAATATGCCATTATTGTTTATCAAACAATCTGCGTCAATTAACGTTTTTTTTCAGTAGACTTGAAAACTAGTGATAAAAATTAAGTTCATATGTAGAAAGCTATGATAATGAAAGGCAGGATCAATATTCATTGAAGATGATTGATATATGAATAAACATTTCTTTGCAACTTCTACAAAATATTTAAAACCTTTTTAAGCAAAATTCTTTAAATTATTCGTGTTATTATTAGAAATACAATAGGGCAATATATACCAAATATATTATAATAAATCTAATTTGAAATGAAAAAGTTTAAGACTGAATAATGGCAGTTCAGTGAGGAAAGTTCTGTTTTCGACAATGTTATTTACTAAAGCCGTATAACTAGACAGATATCTAAAGGTGAATGTAAATCAGTCAATATCTCCATTGTTGAATATTTGATCACCTATCTCTACCAGAAACGTCACTTAAAATTACACACAAAGTTAAACAAACTGACTTCGAAGAAAACTGGATAAAAAAATCTGTGCATAGCTGGGGATTTGACGATTTATCAACTTAAGTTTAATTTTTGTATTCAGAAACGAAATATCTAGTTCCTTATTTTACTATCATTTCAATGTATAAATCGTTCTGATTAGTGTTCGTCTCTTTATATGAAGTCATAAACCGATCAATGTTAAACAACCATTGAAAACCTGAAAGCACTGAACGGCTGCTTCGTCCTAGTATGGGACTCCTCAGAAGTGTTCATCCGTGATCCCACACACTGGATTCGAAACCAGAACCCTCAGTCTCATCAGCCCGTTTGGTCTGGTGTGTGACGAAATCTCAGTACGGACACAGAAGGCTTGACTAGCTTTTGTCATCTTGCGTCATCCATGGCGTAGGAGAGATATCCATCTACCAACCAAAGGACAGGTTTACTGCGCGACAGTTTGTTCCGTCCTACTTTATGGCAGTGAAACATGGCTGGCAAGATTAGAGGTTATTCGTAGATTACTAGTATTCGATCATAAGAGTCTTCGAAGCATTGCTCGTACATCCTGGCACCACCGAGTAAGTAATGCAGTTTTTAGGAAACGGATACTAGGTAAGAATGGCAAATCAATTGATGAAGTAGTGAAACTTCATCAGTTGAGATGGCTGGGGCATGTGTTACGAGTCCTCAACCACCGACTGTCCCAACGTGCGATGTTCAGTGGCATAGAAGTAGGTCGAAAGCTGAGGCGGCCAGACCAAAACATCGCGCAAATCCATGAAGTCACTGACAAGTGAACTGAGCCGTGTTGGTAAGTGTAGACTATCTATTTGGGATTCGCAAGACGACAGCAAACGATGGTTAGGGACCTTGAATGACATGGCTGAAAATCGTTTGCAATGGCGAAGGGCCGATATTTAACGGCGTTAACATCTGATTTCAACCAATCCGCGATATTACGCGATCATCTCCCATTGTGTTCGGTAGATAACTGCGTAATACTTGACACAGTTGACTTCAATTGGTCACGGCTTCCAGATTTTCAATGTTGTCCTCACATTGATCGGTCCATGATTCCATTGAAATCCAACAATCTTCACAGTCCCATACTGAAAATCAATATGTAATGGTTTGGTTTCTCCCGTTGCTGATATTCTTGACTGAATTTTAACCAGTGTTAATTGGTATATGTGAACCTTGTGTGGATTGCCTCGATGTAGACATTATTTCAAGAGAATAGATGGGATGCGGAAAGTAGTGGAATCCAAGACATGAGTTTCGTCCTGTTTGGGACTCGTTGGCTGAACCTGCCTGGGTTCTAGTATTAATACTCACACCGGAACTCAAACAGAGTACCTTTTTCTTCAAACGCCTAGCGCGCTATTCATTGAGCTAATGTCACCAGATAGCCACTAGCTTGTTCAACGAGTATGAATTTGAATTCATATTATAATGGATTTTATTTTTTAGTTGCACAAGCTAGTGGCTATATGGAGTCAGTAGCGCAGAAGAAAACGCGTTAAGTTTTTGAATCAAAAGGTACTCTGTTTGAGTTCTAGTGTGAATATCAAAACTAGGACTCAGGTAGATTCATCTGATGAGTCCCAAACAAGACAAAACAAGTGTATTGGATTCAACTACTTATCATATTGCATCTGTTCTCTAAAAAAATAACGATAAGTTATTTCGTAAAGTGTTAAAATGGAAGAATAAAAGGATACAACAAACCATAATTCGTCATTACTAATGACGGAAGCAAGTTATCATCTGGATACAAAGATATTTACATGTGTTTACTGTACTTTAATATCCACTAACTAAAGTTTAATTTCTGTATTTCTTAAAATAATTTTAAGTAGAGATTTTATATTTATATATTAAAAAATATAGTTTAATAATATTTAAAATTCTATTACAGTTCAGAATTTATGTTAAAATATACTTTTACATAGTAATAATGTAATGTAAAGTTGATAAACAGAATCATCGTAACGGAAGTCAATAATCTAATAAATCGTTATTTAATATTTTCATTCTAAAACTACCATCCATCATGAATAAGTTAATGAGTGTTTATTTATTTAATGGTTAATTATATTTAGAAGAATAATATTACTGTTTGTTTCAATGAAGCTATATATTGAAAAGATTAACTCATAAATAACATACATAATGACCAACTTAAACGTTTGCATCATCTACTTCAAATTATGTAGTTGTTGCAATAAAATTTAACTAATAAAAAGAAGTAATTTTAGATGTACATCATAAAATGTGTTCTAACGCCTTTGTAAAATGTTCATAACCTAATAGAAAAAACATTCAAGGTACAAACAGAAATATCACTGTTATTGAGATATTTTAGTTTTTGTATAAACTTTAAAGAAAGGTGAGGAGAATACAATGGAATTCAAGCATTAAACATTATCGTAGATGTTTACGGTGTAAGATGATTAGGAGATAAGAAATGCTAAAATTATTTTCATACATTTTTTTTGGAAGAATTCTAAGTATGATGTATGTTATTTTAGAACTTATAGCAATACTGTACATTTAGTCATGTAAACTATTTAATGTAACCAAAAGTACAGTATTAAATAAAATAGATTTTATTATCGTATTTTAAAGTCTAATTTATTCGAAAGCTTTTATTTCTTAAAAACTATTATCAGGAAAATATGTTTAATGTGTATGAAAATAATCATTTATCAGCTGATGGCTATTTCTGATTTAAAACTGACACTTATGATAGAGTACATTCAGTTTACATGATTTATGTTTAAACAAAGTACCAATATGAATTTATCAAATATGTGATTTTAAAATTACCACTTTGAAAAGACAATGAAAGTAATTTTAACAATAGTATTTCCAGTAAATGGATAAATAACTAAAACAATAAGAAAATGTGTAACAAACAAAATTAAATATATCAACGAAAAGAAACTAACCTATTCTGCTGTGTGTATCCTTTATGAACTGATAATTTCAATGAATTCATTTTTCACTCTATAACCCATGTTTACCATCCATTAGTTGTGTAGTAGTTGATAAATTTTGATTAGATTCACTGTTAGAAATCAACGTAACAGGAATAGTATACTGTGACTCATTTTCATGTTGAACGATTCCCATATGTGATGGATCCCTTATTATTATTTGACAATCATTAGTTACAGTATTATTATTATTAAGTGTATTAGGTAATTCATTGTCCGGTTGATTAGATCCAACAAAACCTTGATTAATATGAGATACTGATGTATTTGAATGACCTAATTCATTGATAGATGATAAATTATCATGCATTTTCAAAAATTGTTCAAATGCATTACGATTAGAATTAGTTACAGAATCACATGGATTATTTGATTTATTCTCATTGTCATCGACATTTAATGTACATTGATCTACCGGCTGATGATCACAAATACCTAACTTTCTACCTGATGTTAAAATAGATTTCGGTGGTAATTTTTTTACCGGAGATGATGAATAATCTTTTATGATCTCCTGAGTCGGCTATAAAGAAACAGTAAGAATTGATTGATTAATTATAGTGATGTACAAGGTTATGAACGGATTTAGTATTATCGTTGATATATATGATAAAAAACAATAACGTCAACAAGACTGATATATTTACCATTTTTATTTAATGAAATTCTACATGTGTTCTGAATTACTGAAGATCAACAATGATTATAACTTCGGAGATAATCTAACTATTCAACCATTAAAATCTATCAAAACAAAGAATTCATTAATGCTAAATAAAGGCGACTCGATCGAATGTTTTGAATTCCTTAAATAAATATGAAAAGTACTAAACCAATGTCCAGCATTATTGCATTTTACTCATTCAAGAATTCTGAGATGTTTCAAACTGTGAATTTTTTAATAATGATATAATGCTTAAATGTGAATTTCTCCGTTTCAACTAGTGGAAATGTTCAGAAAAGTAAATATTTGTAAGGTTTAAAGATGCGTCAGAGTGATTTTCTGTTTAATTCTAATTTAAACCATCAAGTAAATACCATAATTTGGTAAAAAAAAATAATTGTATAATATCGACAAGTAGTTTAATTATGAAATGCTGAGTGAATAATTACATTATCATAAATCATCTGTTTAAATGACCTCATTAATAGTAATAATAATCACAATAGTAATAATAGTAATAATTTCAAGCCTGGGAAACACTTGTCATATGAAACAGGGATCAAATTTCAATAAATTGAAAAGAATTCATACAGTAGTAAAATAAACATTGCTTTTCTCAAAAGAGATCAATTTCACTTCTGTTTGTATTAGTAGACCACTTTAAAAACTGATCTTAATATTTCCATATTAAAGATCCATTTTTACAGTTCTACTTGAAAATGGCACTAATCAGTGTTTTTATGGTTCATATGGTAGTTCAAACGTATTTCTATCAAAGTTTTGTCCTTAGTTATATTTTGAAGAAAAACAAGTATATTTGGGTGATGAAGTATCACCATTGCTACAACTGTCATTCATTAAGAAAACACAAGTACTATCCAGTATTACATTCTTTGCTGTTTAACAAATCATAAGATGAATAAATAAGTAACTGATGTGTCTGTAAATTTAGTGAAAACTCTTTACAAACTCCATTTTTCATCCATCTATTGTTCAAGTTAGCTTACTTAAGATAAACGATGTGTATGGTCTGACTCTTTATATCGACATAAGCCAGGTTCAGTGAGTCTATACAAAAAGAAAAACACCAGTTTCGTTTTTCATCAAAGCCTTCATTGAATATTATTGTAATAGATTGTGAAAAGTATTTTTCGACCTAAGATTTTAGTGATTCATGATAAAAATGATCCTTTAATGTATTATGATAAAATTACGTTGCACTATAACGAAGCAAACGTTTTTACTTCTTATTTTTAGACATTGAATTAATGAATTGTAGGTTGTTTAAAACGAGTTCAGGGTTATGATTCACTTGGTAATCGATAAATTATTTGGAAAACAAGCACTGAAAAGCATAACATTCCTACAGAGCTGCTTTTTCATTGAGAAAAAACAAACTCCTATTATGATTAATGACGTTTATTACAAATAACTAATGGAATTTTACCTCAAATCAGTAAATAAACAAAATAATGAGGTATTTAATGCTCTGAAATTTTGTTATTTTTATAACCTTTAAAGCAGTATTGCTTACATAACCACTGTAAACTAGGTTACTGACTAACAAATATTTAATATTCACCACTTTATGAAAAGTTTCAACGAAAAACAAACAATAATTACGTGATTTTTGGCAAAGTTACTTAGCAGACATCACTGAAATCCAGGTCACGCATTTCCCCCAATTTGAGACTAGTCAGTTAGACCAGTGACCGTGGCATATGTATAATTTCTATGAGTCAGTTTTTTATTTTCAAAATTTCATTGACGAGAGACATATATTGAATATATTTTTTCCGCTTTATCACTAGTTCGTTATTGTGTAAAAATCCTTCAATTTAGTACGTGCTAAGAATAAAAAATTTTCACATCTAAACAGAAATGTTGAACTTAAACCAGCCTTATGGATAAATACCAAACGAAAGTGCTGTGAATATTTATCTAATCAATATGTCTGGATCAACTCTTTAGTAGAGGTGTATTTCATCTAAACAGGGCAGAATATATTACCACAATGGAATAAAGTAACAAAGAAAGTTTTGTCAATATTCAATTTAGACTTCAGGTAAAGCCAAAGAAAAACACCCTGAACAACTATAGTGATGGTCTCTAAGTTAGATAAATGATCAGAAGTCTATTAAGTGAACTGAAAATCGAATTGCTGGATTCTAACCTATTAGTCTAAAAATACTATGCTCCTTATGAGATCAGAAACATACGGGTTTAATATAGTTTGAGAAAGTGAGTGTACACTGGCGAAGTATCCAGCTAACCCAAGTTTACGATAAAAACTATATTTATATTCAATGGAATATTCATAAATCACCCAAGTTGTTGGCTAAAATTCAAACCAGATTTGATAATCTAGTGAAATACTAAAAGATAAATATAGGTAAGCGAAGAAATGTACTACCGTCATAAGATAAAAATTGAGCTTTATGATTATAACAGGGATATACTTCTTTGTTTATGCCTAGTCTCAGTAAATATAAAATGTCCTAATATCATTCATATCCGTCTCATGTTATTATTGATTGTTGAAGGTTTAATTATGAAGTACAGGACAAAATGGTTATCTTTTTACAAGCTAAAATATTTTGTATTCTACTTTAAAGAACACGGAAACATTCAGTCTTTAAAATGAAGCTTCTATACCGTGAAGTAAATGAAAATTATGCAGTAATATATACTATAACTTACATCAAGCCTGCACTTTTCATAAGGTTCCCCAGATTCATTATCTGTCTGGTGATTCAGTATAAGAACACGTCTTTCCCTTATATAAGGATGAGACTTAGAAGCACTTGGTTGATTAGAATTCGATTTTACTGGTGAGATTTCATTTGATTTCTCTAATGAAGAATGCTCCTCTCTGGAATTAAATGAAGCTGGCATTTGATTAGATTTATTCGGAAGATTATTGTCATCTGCATCATCAATAAATAAGGTAAATGTAGGTTTATTTTCGACTGAGTTATCAGAGATTTCATTGGTCGACAACTCGTAATTAGCGTCAAATTGATGATTACTATGTTTCGAATGAGATGAACTTTTTCCTAACGATCTCATATGTCTCCAAAATCGATGAAATGGATTTTCCTGTTTTTCCTCTTGTGAAAACAAATCGTTGTCTTCCATAGAGGTTTTAATTTCTGTTAAATAGTTTTCGTGCTCAGTATCCTTAACATCATATGTTCTTCTAGATCTTAATGAGTCAGATGCTTGGAAATGACTGGGTTTATGTGGTGAATTAAAAGATTTATCTCGTGTAAAATCAGGTACACTTCTTCGGCCATCATCCGGAGAATATCCAACCGGTTTCCCTGAATATTTCGAGTGAACATTTGGTCGAGCCAATTTCGAACTAAATACACTATGAGAATTAGAATTTCCAAATGTTGTTAACGATGATGTTCTTGGCGGCCGTTTAGGTAGAGGTGTAATAAATATATCACGAACAGCTCTAAATTGACCGCAATTATTCAAATGTTCATTCTCCAAACGAAAGAAATTCCATATAAAACGTCTTGAATGAAATCAATAAAGATGCAATTAAGGTTTTAATGAGTCAAAAAGGTTTAAGAAAGGGTTCCTGATAATGAATTCATAAGTTCAGTTGATAACTGTTTACTACTTTTGAATTGGCGACACAATTAGTTATATAGTTATTTAGAATCTACTAGAAATTTTTCTCATACACGTTACTTTGTTAAAAGCACATAAATACGATAATATAGAGCTTCATATTTTTTTATAGCCCTGGCTCCCAAATGTAGTGTAGAATATAGCAAACTATTTGACTAGTGATCGACTTCCTTTTATGTATCATAAGTAGAGGAATATAATGAAAGGTGATAAACAGGATTCTTCATTTTCTTTGAAGTTTATCCACCAGTCAACCGTGACTAATATAACTACTTTATTACGCTGATAAACATCACAATATCCACAGTTAGCAACTACAGCTAGGGCCCTCAGTTGTTGCCGTTTCTTTCATCAACCTCTCCTTCGGACTTTACACAACAACTCAAACCCTTAGTGACCTGATGTGATCGTTAGGCACTTCGAGAACAGATACTACTAGGAGAATTCTTGATCAATGAAAATGAATTTTCCAAGATAGTAAGTAGAAATAGTCTATACTTAAGAATTGTAGGTACTTACAAACAACATAATATGAGATTCTTTAATGAATATGTGTGGAAAGAAGACTATTGCCTTGTGACCCTGAGGACGATGATCAGTGTTTTTGTATGAGAACTCATTGACCTCAATCTTAGTAAGTGAAAATGGGTTTGGACCAGTCCAAACTTGGCGGCTGAAAATCGGACACCTTAATCATTAGACCACTGCAATAAAGTAAACTGTGTCTTTACAGACTGAAATCACATCACTTCCCGATATATTTACATTGTGATAAACATTCAAAAACCCTTTATTTGACCTAATTGAGGTAAAAACTCCAGAAAATCAATCAATGAATGATGTGTTGTCAAATAAAAAATAAAAACTATTTGTTTCAACTGAGTGAACGATAAATAATGAAGTAGGTAGATTTTGTTTATCACCATTTGACAAGTAACATTACCAAGAACTGTAAAATGTTGTCTATATATACAGTTTACTTCTTTTTAAAAACGAAATACGGTCCTATCTTTCAAGCAATCAATGGTTAGGCGAAATATCGCACCTCTTACGAATTAAATTTACAGACAGAATTATATCATCTAAATGAACAATATATCTTTGTGATGTGAATATATTTCATTTTCACCAATCCTTTACTATATAGTTTTTTTCTATAAACATAACTATGAAAGGGAACATTGGATCTAGCATAAATGCATGTTCTTTTTAAAAGAGCATATCTTACACAAGTACCGAGAAGAACCGAGCTTTAAAACAAAAGAATAATACAGTAAAGATGGTGATATTAACAATAAGAACAAAAAGAGAAGCAACTGAAAGAAATGTGAGGCTAAAATGCACACAGTAACAAGATTTTCAATATTCAGTGTAAGACATAGAAAGAATAGTTGGAAATAATAGTCTATGTAACTAAAACATTTAAAGATTGATTTTGGCTATCACTGAAGGACAAGTATCTAGAAAGTTATACCTCTATGTACATCTTAAACAATAAGTGAACATCGTAACAGACCACCATTGAAAACATAAAGGCACTAGACGGCCGTTTCGTCCTAGTATGGGATTCGTCAGAACTGTCCATCCACGACCCTGTACACTGGATTCGAAACCAACACCTTTGGTCTCGCGCGCAAACGCTGAACCTCCAGACAACCCAGCCGATATTCAACGGTGTTAACATCTGACTTTAACCAATCTGCGATATTGCGCGACCATCTTTCATTGTCTTCGCTGGATAAATGCCTCACGCCCGACTTGGTTGAACTCCACTGGTCACGGCTTCTCAATAGAATCCAGAGAATTACCTCTCAAAGCTACTAAATAGTGAGCAGGATCGTGTATACGCACTGACGACGAATCCTATACTAGGACGAAAGATCCTTCCAGTGCTTCCAGGTTTTCAGTTGTGGTCTAACAGTGGTTGGTTCATGACCCATCTAAGCTATAAATCCCCTCCACTGTTTCTATATAAGTTTGCATGATAAGAATATTTTGAGAAATGGCTTACATACACAACGTTTCATTTATCTAACTGATCTAACTCAGAACAGGATAAAAGCTTATGTTGATTGAACAGGGAAATAGCATTAATCCATGAAGTCATTAAATTTTGATATTAGCCAGATCAAGAACTTTATACTTGTTTCACATGATTCATATTAAAAATATTAAAAATCAAGCCATTATTAAAATGATTTAAACTTGATTACTTTGTTACAAATACATTCAGTCACTATCTTAATTTTTATATTTCATGTAGTATGTATTTTTTTATACTTTAAAGTTGAATTTAAGTAGTTTATTGTCCTTCTTAATAATCGTTCCTGAAGCTTTGCTATATCAGATGGGGACAATTTGAGCTAATCAACTGATATATCATGTTCAGTGCCATCCCAGTCAAAAAAGGAGTACTACATATCAAGTTACATCAGAATAAAAGCATATTATTATAAGTGAGGTTAAAGAATTCCATGCCTACCGAATAACTTCAGTTGTCAAAAATATTGTTGTGATAATTTCCATCCGTGCAAATCCAATACGTTCAAAACTTAGACGAGCGATCCATGTTAAACGGAGCACAAAATCTTCAATTATTGCAAAGAAATAATAACCTCTATATCTGTAGACTAGTTCATCACGTAATAGTTTATCTTCTGACCGACAATCTAATAAACCCCAATCCATAAGAATATCCCATGCATATGTGTAACCAGATCGTATAATACTAGATATAATATAAGCTACCAATGGCCAAGTACCTGTTAATATAACAATATGTAAATTGAAAAAAAAGTTTATATCAGTAATTATTATAAATCGGTAAATGAGTAAAAAATAACTTGTTGTAACTGAAGTTAAGAAATCGTAAATACTTGGACGAACTATATTCTAGGAGAAATAAAGATAATTTATCAAAAAGACTTTTCTTTTTGACAATATTATTTACTAAAACTATGCAATCATATTAACAGTTAATTAGAATAAATAAGCTTAGAATAAAATATTATTAAATTATATAAACGATGATTGAAAATGTTTCCAATTTTTAAAAAAAAACGATTGAGTAACAGACCAAGGTGAAAATAAAGTACAAATGAAAGATAATTATCAACTTGAAGAATATTGAAAAACTGTGAATATAGAGTGGTATAGTGTCATGAATTGCTTGAAAATATGATATATAGGAATAAAATATTAATGTCTAATAAATAATTGTTAAAGTAAATATATTTTATAGGAAAGAAATAATTGTTGAAACTAATTAAATATACGTAATATTAAGTGATTATTAACTATGAAGAGTTAATGAACAAGAAATAACAATAGATTACCAAATATAGACGGTAAATATTTGAGGTGTGTATTTTATCAACGCTTCCCAGTGTAGGTAGAATATAATAATGAATATGATTATTAAATGAATCAAACTCTAGTAAAACAAAGGAAAGCTTGATTATATGATGATCATTTGTATTAGTCCAATTAAATGGAATAGCAACTACTTGACTAGGAAAAATGATGCTTCATCTATGATATACAGTTGAACTCTATTCATCCACTAATTCAGGCAAGTTTTTATTCATGCCCAAATTATCATAAGAACATGCAAGTGAGATATCCGGCAGTTTAGTTTTTGATAATAAAATATCAAGGGCATATACTGAATAATAACCGACGAATCAGTTATTAGACTAGAATATCTATTTGTTTATTTAATCTATGGGACAAATAATATACAACGGTTTCCAATTATAAATTGAAATTTAGGAAGATTCATTGAGCCTTAAATATAATCCTAACATGATATAAGTGAGAAAGACTTTGGTGATAGGTTACAAGAAGAATGTGTTTCACAATTATCAAGGATTATAACTTGAAGGTAAATGATTTACTTCTGGGAGAAAAGTCTGTTCAGCGAATGTAGTGATAGATATAAGAATCTGAATAAACGTTCAGGTGGTTTTCATGCATTTTTTAAGTTTTTTACAATTGTTACACAACTAAGAAAACGTCAATAAACTTGAAATTTAATAAGTACACAAATATAATGAGTTAGCCCTGGAAATTCTTAAGAACACTTACCTTAGAATAATAGTTTGATTGAACCACAAACTATCTACAGTTTAGAAATTGAGAACAGTCACTTTCTCAAATTGATCTATATAGTTTATTATGCTAATTAACAACTGATAACGACCCTCATTTAATGAACCATGCAGAAATTAATTATGATAATTAATAAAGTCTTATTAATTGCGATTTTTTAATACCTCGCTTGAGATAGTGAATATTAAACACAAGCTACTAGAGGGACATATAGATTGGGTCATGAGTGTTCCAACAACAATCAGTCACCTTCTAGACTTCGGGACATTCTTACAAATAAACAAATAAAAATAACAACTAAAATCTTACATCCAGGTCTTGTAGCAATTTCCAGATTGAGCAACTATGGTGTATTGCTAAAGCATCTGTATTTGGAGGCTCGTGATATCACGAAAGTTTACTATGAGTTTCCGTCTCAATTGCTTGTGATCAGCGGTGTTTCCCGCAGATATTGACTTCCAAGTTTATTATTGATGAAAGTTTACAAAAAGTAAAGTGAAGATAAACCTCTGTTTAAAAATATACTTTGTTTGATTTTGTGTACACAGATAGCTATGTCCTCGATGGTTTGGGCACCAGAAAAAGCAGATTTATCTGAACACCTCGTAAGAAAATGTTGTAATACTTCCTGAGATAAACCAAGGACCGAAATGGTTGAGAGAACTGAAAAGTTTAACAATGATCATTGTTTTGTAATATAATTTGTTCCAGTATACCTAGACCAAAAATGTGAGGCTAGAATTTACTAGTTAGCACTTTTTCCGTCTGGTTACTATAACCCCGTATCCGAGAATTAAGCCCAGAGGCCCGCGGTTAGGTGTGTGGCAGTTATCCAAAATAGGAGATGGATAGCGGCGGGGCAGTATCGTGAGTCGGTTGGAGCCAGATATTAACACCGTTGGATACTGGCTCAATAGTCTAGAGGTTAAGTAACCACAAGTGAAACAGAGGGCCTTTGATTCAATTCCCGGATGCGTGGTCGTGGATGAGTACTGCCGAGAAGTACTATCTTAAAACAACACGACTTCCCGGTGCTTCCGGGTCTTCAACGGTTGTCTAATTAAGATCACTTCGTGATTTGAAGTATAAATGCTTTACATTGTGTTTTAATCTGCTATAATAATGCAACAAATGTTCATTAAAACTACTTCAAATTCTACTTTTTGATTACGTCTTGTCAAAGTGAAAGCCTATTGGGGATTAGCGATAATTTATTAAGCAATATAAATTTACAACCAGACAGTCATTTCGTTCTGTAATAGAACTTCTTAAGTGTGCACCTATGACCCGTAAACTTCCGGCTCAATAATTTTAATAGTCATGCATTCATTGTAAGACCTGAAAGCTCTGAAAGCGAGTCCTTGGTGGGGGAATTGGTATGTACTGATAAAGAGTTCAGTACTAGGACGAAATAATTATTCATTCTCCCCTGGTTTTCAGTGGTACCATGAATAAGATCAATCTTCATCAAATACTGTATACAAATTCGAATTAAGTGACAATCTTCAATTTATCAGCTTGATAATTATTCTAGCTGCATTTTTATATAAAATTTATCTGAAAACTAAGCTCTTCATTATAACACTGGACTATCTGTTTCTTGACAACAAAATATCGAAAACATCACATTAATAATATGTGTCGTGAAAGCTATTTATTCAAACATTTTAAACAGTGTTACGATTAATCGTTTTCCAAAATATTTTGCTTTACATACCAACGACAATTTACGTTTTTAAAGAGTTTAGATTATTACCCGTGAGTACATTTATGGGAAAAATGAGGAATCTTAAAAATCAGAGGGGTTTTGTGGATATTATAGTAATCTCAATGGTAGAGATCATGAGTCTAGCTTCAATTGACTCATGATCTCAACCATTGGAATCCTAGATAAACAATTTTCTTGTCAAATTTTCACTGCGATAAAATAACATAAGATGTAACTGTAAAAGTTAAAATTCGTTAATAAAAGAAACATGAATCGAATTTAATCTAATATAGCTTATTTAAAGTTATTTACAAAATCATAATAATTGATTAAAATATAAGAAGCATATAATGAGTACTTAGCATTTTTAGAGTTATTGAGACTAGGTAACAGCAGTAGTTATCACTCATGGAGAATACCTCTGTAGTAAAAGTATCATGAATAGAGTGATCTACTATAAATTACAAATCTTACAAACTCATATATTAGTGAACTATTAGTCAAGACTCAGGATTTTGCTATGAAACTTATAATGGGATTAATCACTCTTGATTAAGGCAAAGTAATTACCAAAAAATCTTTACTTCTTCACATGATTTCATTTCAGAAACAAAATCATCATTTGAGAACTATAAAATTCTCACTAACTTTTGAATACATGCATATTGAGAAGAAATACACAAAACCGAACGACCTAACATGGAGGGAACTTAAGTTCCGATCCATTTATTTTTTTTACATTAAGATGTAACTTAAAACATATCTAGACAACAACAACGTGAATAACAAACAACAATTAATGACTAACCTCGATCGAATGCCAGCCAGACACCACAAGTAGATACTAGAAATGCTGTAGAATATTTCCCTGCGTTTAATAAATGAGGATTGGCTTTTTTAATATCCATGTCTCTATAACGCCTCAAACACTGCGCAAATCGAAACCAAGACGGTAACACCTTCAAAATTGGATCCAAACCGAAAAGAATACCTTCACATTGACAGCTATTAGCTAAGAACACGAAAATAGAAATACTTATAGGCGAAAAATAAAGCGGAGGACAGAATTATTTGCAAGATACAACGAATTTATTGTATTTCAGTACTTTGTCTTCAGTTACATAAAAGCTAATATTTCAAGTTGTTTTCAATTATTAACAAGATGTTCAACCTAAATAATGAATGGTCAATAATACATATGGGTTGTTTGGAATGTAAACGGAATTAAGAATCCAACTTTTTAACAGGAATTTATAGTTGTTTAGGAGTAACAGTTCTGGAATATTTAAGATAATATTATTACGCAATATAACAGAATGGTAAATGTGAAATATTGAGTGAGGCCTTGGAAAAAGTAAATCTCTCTGTAGTCAAATAAACAAAGTTTAGAAAATGGAGCCAAATAATAACCGTTTTTAAAACATAAAAAGGTCAAATTATTATATTACCTATATGATGAGGTGAACAGTAATTATTTAATAAGATAAATAGGGTATTTATATAACGTGTAACCATGACTTATTGATTTTTCCAGTTACCAGAAAAACCCTCATGAAGTTGCAATATAAACGTATCAGGTTTGGTTTGAGTCGATTTTAAGGTGGCATAACCAATTTGAAACAAATAAGAATCGTCTTTAGGAACTCTCGATAATTAGTTTAACCACTAGGTCATCGAAAATTGGGGTTATAAAAGCCAACATATGGAGTAAAAGGGCTAACGCGAGTTGAATTTGAATGTCGTTTCCGTCATGATATAATACTAGCTAGAAAAATTTCAAAACTCAATGAGCTTGCGACTGTTGACGTTCAACTTTATTGATAGTCGGAAAGTTATCACTGGTTCTATCAGATGATTTCTACGTTGTATCACGAATTAAATGAAGCTGAAAATATTTATTAACACAGTGATCTAAGAGTACCATGTTCATCACGATATCTGAAGATTATTATTAGTCATTGTCGAAGTGTTTCAAACCTAGTCGGAACAACTACATAGTGCTTTCTAACGTTCATTGATTTTTCGTTAAATAATAACACACCAGAGTTGATGAGTCTTAGTAATTTCAATACTGTTAATTGATTAACAGAGATATAGATAAATTTAAATAATAAACAATTAATAACTAAAGAGTAATAAAATGAAATAAAAATTCAATATCTATCTTGTTCAATTTGAAATTTGATAATAAATGTAATTAATTTTAATATGTTTCATTTTCTATCCATATTGAATATGTCAGTACCATGAGAGTTCATTTTACCTCTTTACTATAATGTACTTTTAACTAAAACTTGTAAAATTTTCATAAAAAGGTAACAAACTCTTTTTTTTTAATTTTTTTTTATTAATTTTGCGCATATAACAATCATTGATAGGAAAACATTTTGCTCTACATATCTTTTTGATTATGATTATGGGCATGGGAATGTAGTAATCCTTACACATATGTTTTTATATTGTATGATATTTATTAACTGGTTGTAGATGTAATTGTGAAAGAACTAGAATTTCTCAAGAAATTCTATTTAACGTTAAATCTTATATAAACTATCTACATATAATATGTAACGTAAAACCTGCCACTTCTGTACATAAGTTCAAGTTGTTATATTCTATTACCACAGCTATATAAAAAATATCATGGTGAATCCTATCACATAAATCAAATAAAAATGTATCCTGAACAATTTAAAAAAAGATTCAAGTTAGTTATTTTCATTCTTATTTAAAAAGTAAAAAAAATTACAGAACAACTGATGAACAATAACTGCTATAGTTTGAATTGGTTCAAGTGACGAAACTTTTAATGCATAATAACAGTAGTTAATTATTTAAAAAAATATTTGTTTCAAAGGGTTTCATTGAAATAAAGTATTCTGATCTATACCTAACAATCAAATAAGTTTATTGTTTATGATTATTAGATTTCGTGAAAATACTCACAAACACTAACTAAGAACAATGACAATAGGTGTATTTGTTTTCAGAGTATTAATATGTTAAAAATATTTTCATTCCAATATTTTTACCGAGATATGATATGCAGATAATAATGTACTGACAATGTTACAGCGATAATACATCAGTTCAATTATGTAATTTATTTGAACATCGAATAAGTATAAAAATTTAAAAATCCCTAATTAAGATAGAAAGTTTCATGTATTCAAAGACTTCTGAATAATCACATTCATTTATTTAAAGAACTTTCATGTTCAGGGATTTCTGTGTAAAGGTATCCACAGTTATTTGTCTCAGAAACCGAGTTCTTACTGTTTATGTGACTACTTCAGAACAATTTAACGTTAATCACATTGTGGTATATTGTTTCGTTTAAGAAATGAAAAAATTAAATTTTTCAGTAATACACGAACATGGTAGTGAAAGAATTAGTTTTATGGTTGAAATGTTTTAAGTTAATAGCTTTATCATTAACGCAAAAATGTTGAGTTATTTATTCCTTATAAGAGCTATGCATTTAGTTCAGTAACACAAGGGTTTCGTAAATATAAACGGTTTTGTACAAATATTTTCAATGGTTAAGATCATGAGTCAGTTGAAGCTAGACCACCCTGGAAAACCTGGAAGCACTGGACGGCCGTTTCGACCTATTGTGGGACTCCTCAGCAGTGCGCATCCACGACCTCGCCCCCTGCGAGATTCGAACACAGAACCTACTGGTTCCGCTCGGGAGCACTTAACCACTAGACCACTGAGCCGGCATCCAACAGTGTTTCGTGGATTAGTTGAAGTTAGACATGCACTCAGAAGGCACATATTTCGGAATGGTCAAAAGTCCTCCTTAATATTAATAAAATGAAAAATTGTATCTACATATTTACACAATTAGATTATTTTTGATTATTATGGGGATATAATTTAGTGACTTTTCGAAATGATTCTAGACCACAGATGTAAATTTAAAAAAAAGAAATCTTAAATAAAATAAAAACTCCGGTAACCCTAGATAGCATTTCAAGTCAAATTACTTCGCATATATATATATATATATATATATATATATATATATATATATAGCGTCCTTATTCACATGACATAATTAGTACGTACATTGATTTCTTCAGAAGGAAAACATGAATTCACATTTTTACACGATGGTTATATTAAACAGATCTCATTAAGTCAGATTTTTAGTAAATTATAGGCTAGTAATAGTACTCTAAAATACTGGATTTTTATAAAATGTACTATTATTAAAGAAATCACCTAAATAATAATATTAAAGTGGTAAATCAGGGATTTTTAATTTTATAAAGAAAAGTTCAATGAAACAATGATTTTCATTATAAATTAGTATTAGCTAGAAAACCAAGAATTATTCAACTGTTATTTGGATTTCAGTGTTTAGGTTATTGCAACGAGCCTAATATATGTGTAATTTTAGTCAAAAGTTAATCGGTCCACATTTCCGCACATGTAATTAATTCTCCATCTTTTTGGATAACCGTCTGTTGCAACAGGTAAAAATTTAGTTTTACATACATAGTTTATTTCACAAGGTTTCGATTTTGAAATTAGTTACTAGTTGCCACTTGATTTTAACGGGATGATTATGTACATACGATATTTCGTTGTTGAACAATTGATAATAATCTTACAGAAATAAATCTTCAAGATGTTATGACAAGCATAATGCTATAACCAACTGTATATTAACCAAAAACAAATAAGTTGAGAAAACGTTCCAGGGTGGGTAATCAAAAATCATTCACTTCATTCATCAGTCAACTTTGACTAATCTATCAGACTTATGTGTTAAATATGTATATCGGCTTCGACAAAGTCATTTCCACTTATATCTACAGTTTTATCATCCAACAGATATAATCTAAAGTTTGTACATCGTTTCATACGTGGAGGAATAATTGAAATGTTCCGATCCTAAGTTTGGCATTTATTATCCACAAAACAAACCATCCGTCAACATCAAATAGTCTTGAATTGTTATTAATATCATGCTGTTATGAATTGAATTCGGCCGATAGTACATTCAATCTCATGGTCACACGACATTTATTACTTACTTTTAAAAAAATAAAGTTAGTGAACTAACTTCAGTGAAAAGTTTGCTGTCCAAACTTTATTATTACACCAAAAAGTATGATCTAACACCTTTTTTCTATGTTTAGTTTTAGCACAACATTCAAATCTACTAGATAATTAAACTATTCACCACAAAGTCATCGCTAGAATACGCGTTAAATATCATTTCCATTAATTGCTTTAAATAAACGTAAGTTAATTTTTTTAAAATAAGCTAATACCAGAAATAACTTGATAAAATTTACATTGTATTGTATGAAGTTACAAATGAGGAATGTTAAAGAATTTCATGCTAAAAGCAGACTATTATTCATTACTTTTTATCTTGAAGTTTCTCACCAACCCTTGATGATCAATACAACCATATTGTATATGAAACTTCTACATAAATTACTGTGCCTTAATAAAAGACATAAAGTGATTAAAATCCATTTGTACACTCCAAAACAGAATTAGGTAACACATTAATTACTGCCGATTCGTTTTAGCATCCATAGAATGGGCTAATAAAAAAACTTTCAAGGTAGAAAGAAGACAAGTGTTGGACCTTAAAAAAGAAACTAGAACGACGAAATAATGATAAAAAGAATCATTGAGAGAATGTATGGTTCTGGTAAACATTTCATAAGAATACAAAGCGAAACAATGCTCACTATTCTTTTCAAAAATCAATGAAAAGAAGTTAAATCATACTTCAATCATCATTTATAAATATATGAAGAAAATACACAGAGATTAATGGAGAAAATAAGAAGTTCTATTAGGTAAAATGTTTTTTACAGTGAAATTAAAATCAACTTACGACACAACTTTTTCATCTAACTGTTTCAAGATTAAAAAATATCATATTACCCTAAGATGGTGTTTGTTTTGATAATCCCTGTGTTAATCTATCAGTGTTTAAGTCTTAAAAATATGATGGACGGTATCTATTACAAAACACTGACATCATGTTTTATTTATCATGTACTGAAACGTTCCTGAACTTCACCTTAGATTTCAAATTATCGCATAAGTAACTCTTAGGTGTTTAATTATCGAAATCATAATTTACATTCATACCACTTAGAAAAAACTAATATAAAACTATGGGAAAAATACCTGGGGTTTTTAAAAGTAAACCTCGTTTATTTTTCAATAAATCACAAAATTATACAAATTAATACAAATACAAACACAAAAAACTTAAAATACTATTCAAGTAAAATTTTTTTCAGAAGCAAAATGGGTATTCTCTTGATGCTTCACTAAATAATCATCAATTGTTTGCTTTAACCACTTCTCTAAAATAATATTACAAAGACTTCTGTTTTTTTTCTTAGACATAACATATTACAAACCGGAAGGGTTTAGACCAATTATAACTGACAGTTTCCCTTCAAGTAGACCGTATACGTAAATTTATATTCAGTGAAAAAAATTGTAGGAGTACAATATTTACCTTAACACTATAGAAAACTATCCTTTAAACTATATTTTGAATTACCCATTTATAAATAAATTCTGCAATCCAATTTGAATAAAGTACTTTATTATTGAGAACAATATTAATACTATCCGAATTACACCAAGTCTTAAGCGGATACTTTTAACAATTTTATTCTATTTTTAACAAAGCTTCCTTAAGTACTCATTCCAAATTTAAAAATTATTTGGAGATAATCTTACCAATGAAAGATTAACAGATAATATCAGAAGAACAAAATCCCAAGTATTTATGAATATTGGATAACTACTTTTTAACGTTAAATGAAAATAAACATCACATCAATCCATTTTATGGAATCTCTATATATTTGGTCTATCAAAAATTGGTACATGATTATTATATCTGATTATGGAAAATAAAACTGCAAATCCAAAAATGAACATATTCTACTATGTAGACTGATATGCTGAAAATATAGAGCAAAATACCAAAGTATAATGATGGAGTTCAACTAGGAGAAAAAAAAGCACAGGAGCTAGAAAATTTAACAAAAATGAAATAGTCATTTTACAGATGCATTAAACAAATCAATAGTCAAAAAGCTTTAGAAATTACATTTTGAAGCTTTAAGAGTTTAATAACTACGAAGTTTAAAGTTTTATAATCTTTCTCTGTACAGTGATTTACATTCAACAATTAAGTCATTCGTTTTCCTGATAGTACATGATCAAACTTGGGAAATCACTTAAGTCTCAATAAATTGTAAGAAAAACGAAATACGCTTACAAAGAATATGGAAAAATCTTGCTATTTAAACAAGCTTTTGAGTGGGGAATAACAATCAAGTACTCGAAGTCAAATAAAGAGCAAGCTATTAACAATCTATTGTCAACAAAGATTAGATCCAATATTCAAACCTTAATTTCATTGATTAGTCATAGATCTACAAAATTACATATTGCATCAAATTTTAAATGATTTGAATGATCGTTAATGCTTCTTTGCAGCTAAACACTTTATATTACTAGAGATATTTGAGCTTCCCCTTCTCAGTTTCTTGAGTTTTTCGTCAATAATTAGGCTATCTTAAACAACATTCTGGCTGATTTCACATCACTGTCAACAAGCGATGTTATTGCCACGGATACGTTCATATTTCTTTACTATAACAAATGACATTGAATTGTTGTTAAGGGATTAAACCTTGGTTATTATCTCCTATGAAAAACAACTTATATTTTATTCTACTGAATGAAAATTCTCCTCGATCAATTTTTTTTTATGAATTACTATTACACAAATTATAAAATTCTTACATAAATAAATTATATCTATCCGATCAATATTATATATATTTACATGAAATTAGTCAAATGGCACTTACCTATAATTTCATTTGAATGAGAAGCACAAGAAGGAATTGTTAAACGTGTTGAATTAGAATATTGACTATTATGTCCCATAACTAGTGAAGGTAATGTCAAAGAAGAAGAATTTTGTGGTTTGTAACTCATTCCATTAGCCCAATCAATTTGTGATGAATAAAAACAAATAAAATAAGCTATATCTGGAAATATGAAACTTAAACTAGTTAGTTGATCCGCTAGCCAAAAATCTGCGAAAGAAACTTTTGCAAATGGTGCTCTGATAATTCGTCCCTGAAAAGAAGAAAGAACAAAATAAAATAACTGCACACATATGAATACATTTAAATAAAAAACTACTAATATGTAACCATAGAACAGATTGAATGTGGCTATTAGCAGAATTTAGGACACATGTTTCATCCTATTAGTCCTCTTAAGAATCACGTATGACGATAAAGATTGATCAGTTGCAGCTGCTCATACAAATGAGCAAATAAAAGCCCATACAAATAAAAATACAACTATTAAATCATATGGAAAAACTACTAAACATAGTTTTTCGAAGTAAGCAGATTCATACTACAGAGTAAATTATTTTATAACACTGAGATGATCTGATAATCGACTATTTCTGAATATGTAAAAGGTAAGATTAATGAGTCTAAATTACATTGACACAATAAGCTATGTGATATTTCAAAGATATAAAATAATAATAAATAGCAATCAAAAAACAGCACAAAGTAAACAGATAACGATAAACACGACTAACAAGCCTATGAAGAGGTTGCAGAAATCAGTTAATAAAAAAAATAAAACGCAAACCAGATCACATGACGCCGACATCGAGCTAATAGCAAAAGAGAATATAATTTTCATTTATATCAGTAACTCTTTTCTTGACCAATATACCTTTTTTGGTAAGTTTTTAAAAATATTGCATATATGCTGCTATACAAAGTAACGACATAAATCGATACACTTTTGATGTTAGTTACATAAATCTGTTTGTCTATTAGATCAAGTTCATATGCCGAATTTCTATAAATTAACGTGAACTGACTTGATTGAGATAATGATTACACTGTTAAACAAAAATATTTATACCAAACTTGGTAAATGTTGTTTGTACTAATTAGTCTTTTTTTCTATATGGATTGGGTTATATATGCATCACAGTATCGTGTTGATTACATAGAAGTATTGTGAAAGATATTACAATCTGTCATATAATAACCATACTTCATTACTAAAGACGAACTTAAATTGCTATTATAGTAGTTTTATTATTCCCTATCCCCAAACATTTCATATTAAGAGATAACTGACTATACATTTGAAGAAAAACATGATTGAATAAGTTATACTGATCAAGATAATTGCCTTGATTTGTTTAAGTCTTTACAAAAATTACACTAATGGTATCCACATAAACCCATTATATAAAAAATTATTGCTAAGAAAAATGTCCACACATCGGACATACAAGACATTTTTTATATTCTATTTATTAAAATGTATTTTTCAGTTTAAATTTGTTCATAGTATTCACAGATTTTTGAAGCTGTAAGTAAAATGGCATCTCTTTAGTCAGTACTACTAAATAAAATGTATTGGTTTACCTAAGTATACGATTTCCATGTGATTGTAAGCAGGAAACGTTAGGTTATTAGTTTACTAAAAGTCAAACTATATATATATATACATAGAATGTGTACTACAAACGAACACAGAAAAAGTCTAGACATGAAATTTTATATTGCAAATAATTAAATCCATGGTATCTGGGCGCCACATACTCATAGTTTGGAATACGCTTCCCTATTGCATGTATCATTATCAGTGACTTGTAAAACTTAAATAACTACAAGTACCCATTTTATTTGGCTATTAAACTGAGTTGCCGAAAGTAAGAAAAATGATGAAAAGTTTACATAAATCCTTAATATTAATTTTCTCATCAATTACTTGATACGATAATATTTTAGAGATCTTATTTGAATGATAAAATGTTGATGTATCAAAATTAAAAACAATAAGGTAATAAAAAGATCGGCTATCATTGATCGGCATTAAAAATGGACTGGACTACTCAGCAACTAATTAAAAGTCCTACAGGTCAATTGCTGCTCAAATAGCTCATCGTTAACGTCTCAAACTGTGGAATTGTGTGACATGGATTTGTATCCTACAAAGAGTATCAGTTGTTAAAAGACTATAGATACGCATTGCTGATGAGTGTCGATCATCACTAAACCTCAATTTAATATTTCCCATCGAGTAACTTCAACCACCGAACATTATTATAAGTGATTATCATCACTACATTGTCAAACTCAGAAAGTATTAACAGTACATTCAACACTTTTAAAAAAAGATCCAAGACATCAATTATAAAAATTAACAATGAAATTTCAGTAGGATAAAGGTTAAACTGAAATTGATATTCGTGATGATTTTCAACTGCTTGACATTTGTTTATATTACATGATCACTCTATATTACGTGTTCTACCGTCTGTTTAACTGATTTTTGTCATTTTCTTCTTTCTGGTTTTATAAACAAAGATCAAAAGTTTCATTTTACCGAAACAAATTAAAATTGATAGATATTGAAAATTATCACATCTGCTAATAGTCTCATAATAAATAAATTAAAAAATTAATTAGAATAGTTCCCTTGAAAGTATCAATTAATATTAAAGGCCCTTTGATTATATATATATATATATATATATATATATATATATATATATTTATTTATTTATTTATTTATTTATTTATTTATCGTCATTTTACACAACAACACTCAAATACTAACTTTATTAATAATAATCCTTAATGAAATATATTTTTATTTCGGTGAATCAATCGTTTACTGTTCATGACAGTTGAGAATAATGTTAATCATATGGCTTTATTATGAGCTAATATTACTATTATTATTATTACTTAGATTCACTTGACAACGTATAAATATAATAAACTCAATATTAATTGTCAAAATAAGATTTTTGACTATTTTCAACGTTTTTACTGTATAAATGTACGAGTAATTCTGTGATATATATATATATATATCAGTAGTTTCCATGAATTAACTTCCATATACCAAATAACTAACTAAATAATAATTATAACAAACTTACTAGTGAATAACTATATGACAGATTTTTGAAGTTATTTTAAAAACTATGACATATGGAGTCTGAATTGTTGAAAATGAAACACTTATCTCTAATAATGTAACGGAACAATAGTCAAACTATTTGATCTTATTATAAAATTTAGCATATTTACTTGAAATTGATTGTTGAATTGTTGTTTGGAGGAAACTACTCATAGCTGTTAGCCAAAATTATTCAAAAGGATAAATATCAATTATTCTTTGTACATTCATGTTGAAATGATTAATACATTAATAAAACAATCTTTTCCATTCATTTCACTTTATATTACACGAAAAACTTACTAATACACGTAATAACCAACGACGTGCTTTGGAATGAGCAAAACTAAACGGATTGACTAAGTAAAGTGTCATGAATGAAACAAGTACTAATGGTGATGCATATCCAGGTGAATGTAGTACTTCACTAAATAAGAAATAAATCAGCGCACACCCCCAAATCATAGCAAAGAAGAATGAAATCTATAATGAAAAAAATATTAAATAATAATGACTTTGAATAATAGGTGATAATAATAGGATATATATTTATGATATCACTAATACTTATATTGAGATTTTAATGAAAATGTAAAAATGAGAAACTAAAGAGAACAAAGTGGTCAGCTTTTTTCTGTATTTTAATAAATATTTACAATATGGACTGAGAAAGTATAGGAAACAATCTAGAGAAACCAGTAGCTGTATGAATATTTACTCTTTCTATTTGAGAAAAGTATACCTAGTTATAATACAACAACCTGATGTATCACTTATTCAGAACACTTCCAAATGAACCAAAAACTGTATAAAACATCCTCATTATTTAATTTACTTATTACAAAATGTTCAAATGAATGACTGTCAAACTGAGTATCTGTGGGAAATACACACATATAAACTTGATGAAGAGGGTGGTAGATTTCAGTTCACCTGATTGTTTTCATAATAATTCTATTTTACTATTCATTGATTGTTCCAAGTGTTCCGTAGCCATATAATACGTTTTTTGAATGACTATAACATCACAACTCTTCCAACAGAATTTTTCCTAAATGGAAAATATCTATCATCCTTTTTATAACCAGATTCATTGTAACACGTTGAGATATTTAACAGCAATAAAATTTTTCGATCGAATAACCATCAAGATAATCAGCAAAGCCATAAAATATTCACATGAATAATTCATTTTCGAGATTAATTATGTAGCCAGTTTAAATAAAATACCATTAGTAAATGTTTGTAAGCAATTAGGCAGAAAATACTACACCTGTTTCCTGTTAATCGGAGCCCATCAGTAAAAAACGTACACTGAATCTTCAGTAAAATGATCTCCTAGTAGCATTTGAGCTAGTGTTACTTTTAAGTATGATACCACTGAGCTATTCAAGCTGCATCTAACATTTTACATCACCTCTTATTATTGGGCGTGTGGAAGTAAAAATGTGTAAACTCTGTGCCCAGATTCCAGTAAACAATTTAACATGAAAAAAATTAATTCATTTTTAGTGATAGATTAATTAATAGAGCTTTTCAACAGAAAAGCCATTTGGTTTACACTAGTTAATTTTGCAATACAATTAATCAACGAATAATAACTAAATAAAGTGGGATGTCGAAAATTCATTAAAACGCTTTATAGATGCTTAAGAAAGATTGTGTTTTTTGTATTGGTAACTTTTATTGAACAAAGCACAAACAAACCGATTAATTAAACTAAAGAATTTAACAAATAAATTTAATTAATCAAATAAACAACTAAATTAATTTCTGTATGTAAAATAGATTATTTCCAATTGAAAATTGGGTTGTTTTTTTTCTAAAATTCAGTTGCTTCTGTTCCGAATTCAAATCTTACTTGTTCTAATTTGTTTATCAGTATCCCTTACACAAAAATTGTGACTTAAAACTGAACACATAAATTCATACTTGATTATCATATCTTTCACCAATAAATACATTTTATTTGGAAAAAAAGCAAACTATTTGCTATGTTGAAATTAAACAATTACCTACATTGAATGATGTGAACGTATTTAGTACATACAATATACGTTACCAATTACTAAAATCTCAGTTAAAATGAACGGATATTTAGGATTATTTTACCACAATTAATCATTATCATTTAAGTGATTATTAGATGGATTGAATATTAATCATAATAAAAATACATTTATATAGTATACTCAACGTCTGTAGTTGTATCCATTCAATGGTATCTTCACTAAATCAAATTATAATCACACTATAACAGGCATTCACCATATAAATAAAGTAAAATAAAAAGTGATTTTCATATTACTTTCTTATAAAATATTTACTAAAAGAAATTCCATTTCATATCCCGTATTTAGCTGATTTATGAATTCAGCTATGAACTGATGTTGGTATTATTCACTATTAAATTATGCAACAATAAGAGTTGCACAAGTATAAGAAATGCATCCGTTATGAGAGACCCTTTCAACTATTGCACATGAAGCACAAAATATAATGCTTTTTCTCATTCATAGAATCTCACGGAATCGTAATTGTATCCTTCTTAACACGATAAAAATCTCATGATTAAAAATATGCAAACATTTTGCTAATTTAATTGTAGAAAGAACAATATCTGTAGAAAATTAACCAAAGAATATCAAATACAATACAAAGTAAAAGACGATGATTAATAAACTCTGTTATCGTTTAGTTTAAAGATCAAGTAAATTAGTGAAGATCAGCCAGTGCAAATTATTATAATTCTTGTGTTTCAATGAAAAAATATAACATCAAACTTGAATTTACCAACGAAGTTTAGTGTTAAACAAAGCTTTCGGTTTACTCATATGGTTATTCTTTAAGAATTCACTACAATAATTATTGTTGTTACAAAAACTAATTCGAGAATTCGACAATTTTCTTAGGAATTCACTTTGTTGTATGTTTCAATGAATAAATCTACGTGCATTTTAAAAGAAATAATTAAGGATTTCATTTAAATAGATAAGTACACTTCTAGTAATAGTAAAATGATATTCAAACAACGCATATGCACTAAGATTAATTATGAATATTTGAAAATACCAAAACACAAAATAGTTTTTAATCACTATACAAACTTCATGATACCATATTGTAGTTATCTGCATTTAAAATATATATTCGCTTTTTTGTCATATAATTCGCAAGTCACGTGGTTTCAACTGTTATATATATATATATATATATATATATATATATATATATATATATATATATATATATATATATATATATATATATATATATATATATATGGTAAGAGATAAATTATTTGAGGCATGTATCATGTATTTTCATTGAAACAAATTTGTTATCAGTATGAAATATTATTATCATTGTGGTGACACAATTTTAAAAGTGGAATCACAAAAATATTCACTTGGTAAAATACTAACAAATCAATAATTTGGTCTCTGGTAAAATTACTAACCAATTTTTCATATCATTCAATATCCTCACATATTAATGATATATTAAATGTCACCTAACAAACAATGTTACTTCAAAGCTAAAACGTATGCATTTCTGACAGAACTAACAACTATAAATGGTAACTCCAGAGACTGAATTAATGAGAAATTAGTTAGAGTAGAATATTGTCAAAGGAACCAGGTATTGTTATTGTATTTTGATATTCATTGAAATCAATATAAACTAATGTCTAAAAAACCTACTGGTACGAAATATTTCAACCAGAAAAAAAGTGAACAAAGATAGATCATCTATTTAGTTGTGCTCTAATTCTGTTCACCAATGTGATAATCAACTGTGACCTACAATCAATTGTATGTTAAAAGACTGAGGTAATGTCTAGTAAATAGATATTTTTGAGTGAATAAAGCATGCATATAATACAAATAAATGTGATCGCTAGTTGTCTTAGAATAAGCTATAACGGTATAGATAGGAGACTATTAATTTTTTAAGTAAAATATAGATAATTCAGTAGAGAGAATCTTTTTCATTACATCATTTAATTAAACAGCATTCATCGACAGTTTTAATTATGGTATTTTATCATAAAATAGAACACTATTACTTCACTTAGCAAGCATATAAAAAATGTCATTGAAATCATAAATCGATCTAAGTTGGACTACTGTTGGAAACTTCCTATAAACCTGGAAGCACTGGATGGTCATCTTATCCTAGTATAGGGGTGTTCAGCAATGAGCATTCACGACACGACTCACGAGAATCAAACCCAAGACCTCTGAAAACAGTCAAGCAGTTTCAAGTACCTAATATAATAAAACACAGAGACATCGTACCATTTAATAAAGGAATGAAAAATTGTGAAGTTTTTAAGTATCGGATCTAAGTTGCGTCATAGTTTAACAGGTAATAACAAAATAATAACTTTTCCAAAGAATGAAAAAAACAATTGTCTACTTTAGGAATATGGAGAACTTGGAAGATATGGTATTTATTGATGCTAACATTTTGAGACATCAGAAGCCATTCTAAGACCATGGTAAAATAAGAGACTAATCATAATCTCTTGCAGAATCAACGCAACTGACAATAACATTTTAATCGGCCAACCTAAACACTTGATCTTTAAAATGAAATAAAAACTTTGATATATATATAATTCGACGGGGACAAATAAAACAGAGTAATGGGAAACACGAGATGCTTCTAAAATTCATGATTAAACTGAGAATAGAGAACGAATAAATGCGCTCTAACACTGATTTGAAGCCATATTTATCAGATTATTCAATAACATAAAACCCCTCTCTTTTAGACTACGATCAGAAAGTTCAGATCTCGCAATATGATTCATTCCACCAACCTATCAACTGAGAATATATCAAGGTCTAGCCGTCTCTACACGTTTTCCAAAGTATTTCTATACTACTTATTACTGTTAGCCATAAACAGTTTAGTCCTCAAAAATTCAGACGCTAATCAATCGGCTAACCATTCCAAAGCAGTACCTTACATTTAACCTACAGTTACCCACTTGGTGGTTCTTTCCTACTAAAATTATTGTGTACAGAATATGAGATATTAGCAATTTGGGCAAGTTATTTGCCTTCGTAAACAATGTATCACAACAACCAACTAATGTATAGTGATTTACTGTATAAAACACGACCTTCGACAATCATTTCGTCAGCGCCAAAGATGATGCAATAAGGGGGAATCCAAATAATGTACTACGTCCGTGTGAAGAACTCCCAGCATCTTTTAACTAAATGAAATATGAATTAGTTTTCAAGCAGTCTTTACCCAGATAAATATAATAATCGAAAAACATAATACAAGCATCTACCACACTGAAGAGTGTTATGGTTTTTTAATTTAGAACCTTACTCCATTACCGAAAGAGAACGCTTTGACGCTTTCGACCTCTATAAATAGTTCGAATATGATTCCATGAAAAATACTTGTAACATAGTTATTACATTTTTTGTCTAAAAATCGATCACAAACAAAGCATAAAATAACAGTCAGATGATAATAGAATAAAAATAACTAGCTGCGTATGAAAGCTTAGACTGTATAGGTTGACATGCGGTGACTTTGACCTTATTACAAATTGTAATATTATTAAAAAGTGATTAGAAGTAACACAAAGGCTGACATTAGTTAAAGAAGCTCAAAAATCTATAATCGTAAGCTTTTCCTTTGAATGACGTGATTTTATTTGAATGTTAACGTGAAAATTGTTTGCTTAGTAGTAAAAGTGAAGAGATAATTGTAGAATACATTTTCGAATTATACATTTTATTTCAACCTGATATTTGAAACTATTTTCTGTAAATACAGTCAGGTCATAGTATGAATAGGCTTGTATATTATGCGAAAAATACCGAAAATGACATCGGGTACTTGTAACATGATTTAATTGAATGGTATTGGATAAAATGGCTTTCTGGTAATCTTGGAGGAACTCATGGTTTCTTTCAGATTCTTTAATAATAGAAATTCTTCATAACAACAAACATCAACAGCGAAAACTATAGGTGAAGAATTAACCTTGAGTATCTCAATACACGCAGCACGTTCCTTGATTGAAGGATCTCAAAAGATATCAATTACCTTGGTTGCCATCTAAAACATTATTCATGCAAATGGATAAGTTATTGTTTAATACGCTAAACTATTTCTCTTATCAGTGTCTACCACAATCAAACCGCTTAATTACGTCGCATATCAAATCTTTTGTTAGAGAGAACATTAATCCCTAGGTCTACGTAAACAAAAGAAATGTACTGAAAAATTGCGAATCTGATGAAACAGCGCAAGCCTATAAAACTTTGCAAAAACTAATACATATTCCGAATAATAAAACTGCTAAACTCAAGGCTTTCTAGTTTAAAACTTAGGTAATTCTTACCGTCTATTAAAAACGGATATAAAGTGCGAAAACCAATAACACCAATCAATTTGTCACTCTCACTTTAAGGCTAAATAAAACTAATCAAGTGACCTGTTATTAATAATTCAATTTATATGTCATTGTCTAATATTCCTGAAAACTAGTAGCTTGATGGTTGGAACTTTCCCTCTTCATACCTCGATGAAGGCAGTTTGATGGTATTGTCATTTATAGCTCTTTTTCAGAAGATACGATTAGCAGCTAATGACGGTTTTCTTTAGCTGATCATTATTACAATTAAATCGCTAACAATGAATTACTGAATAGAATCTATTCAAAATGATACTTATAGAAAAAAGCTGAATTTAAATTTCAGATTGAAGCATAATCTTCATGCATGATTTGTATAATTGGATTGTCAGTATTAGTAACTCAGTTTTACTCATTTTGATCAGTAGTTCAAAAACAAAATTAACACAAAACACAAAAAAAAAAAAGATTTTCATGTCATATTTTAACCGCTTAAATATTATCGAATAGTATAAGCTGTGTCAGTAATGATTCATCTACTCACACAGTGAAGCTCTAAATTCAACAATAAATTTCATATCATGTTAAATGAATACTGTTCATGATACACGTTTTAAGTGAACTTTAAACTTTATGGTAAATATTATGGACAAAAACCTTTCGTTCATGATATAGTGTCTAGAATGGAATACGCAACCTAAATTTTATAATCATTCAAACCACTCGGTACTCAAGTATATAAGTTGTTATTGGTTAATCGAGTACTGAAATCTCGACTAACCTACGTATACAAATATACACTTCCTAGAGATATTTCGCTCAGTTCACGCAAACATAAGTCATCATTGTTGACCGACAATTAGTAGTTTCCATTAGTATGGATTTAAATCAACAGGTCAGAGTATCGATGCTTTTCGGATGAGTTTAAAGTAATACATGGGTTAAATATTTACTACTTTACGGTAGCAAAGAATGCTAGTAAAATAATCCGTGCACTAAAAATAGCATATCCCTACACATTTTCTGGGACCTACTTCATCTGAAAGGATGTGGAGTTTATTGATTAGCAACAGACATGAATTAACCAAATTATAAATGTTGATGTTATAATATTATTTACTGAAAAGAACTAGTTTACATTACGGATTAACATCACTTGCAGAATCATTTTAAAACCAGGAAGTACGTGATAGCTGTTCTGTTCTCGTTTGGAACTGCTCAACAGTGACCAACATTTACCCTATGTAGGATCAAACTAGGCTTTTAACCATTACTACAAGAGTGGCACCTTTAACCAATGTGTCAAAGCCTAAGTTACGTTTTATAATATCAGTCATTTGGCGATACTGAGCGAGGATCTATAGTGTTCAATTAAATAATTTTTTTAATTCTAATCGTAGTTTCTACTTTCATTAAAATTCGAGAAGTATCATTCTAATCATAAAGAAAGATTTTTTCGGTGCTCATTGTTATAAACAATGAGTTTTTGGAAAGGTGAAACCTTCCCAGTTAACTTGAAGACATTTCACCAAACTTTTTAAAATACTATTTACATAGAATTAAGGCTTAACAGACCGCTGTTGTCATGACTTGAAATCGATCGATAAAACCAGTAAAAACTAAAAGTTGACACATAATCAGATGAATTTTTTGTTGAAAAAAGAAACTATCACAGGATATTACCGCGTATTTGTTTTTCTAACAAACCAGTTTACTTTGAAGTGACCGACTGATTATTGCGTTTATTCTTTGGATTTGTTGTAAATGTAATAAACCTACATATTTAAGTAAAAATGAATCAAAATTCTAAAAACTTTAATCCGAAGCTCTAATTAAAGAGAGAACAAACGTTTTTCACACCTAATGTTGTAATTCCTGATCTCACCCTTCATAATCAAACTTTTAAGAGTGCCACATGTTAGCACTGCCGTAGCTACGGAATGACAGCAAATAAAAGGCTAATTGAATACTTGTTCTAGTTTTATAGGCCATATTTCAAAAAACTACTGATCCAAATGATATGCAGTATATTTGCTCCTTCACTAAGTAGATTAACAATCACCAGGCAGAATGTGATCTTTCTGTTTAAAGCTTTCAAATTATTTACAGGTCTTTTGACAGATTTTATAAGGTATATGGTGGTAAACTACTGATATCAGATACGAAATCATAAAGAAACCGACAACCTCTTTTTTACTACCTTGGAATAAACCAATATTTGAACACAAGTTGATGGTCATGACTAGATTTCAAATAAACAAGAATGCTATGAAATTATAACAAAATGCTTGCACTCAACTACCCGACAGTGCTGTACTTTGAGGTAGATTTATAGAGACTCCAATAGAAAACTTATAACCGATGTAAAAATTTCCATTGGTAAATGAAAATTTATGCTTGAATGTGACGTTGAATGACATGTTTGGACACTAAAAATATCGAGGGCAATTAATTCCAGCCTGATATTTCAAAAATAACATGATATCAGGAAATTCATAAACAATCTAGAATACAAAATAACATGGGGTTTTAAACTGAAATAAAATATTTTTTCAGTAATGTAACGTTTTCAATGATTAGGTAGCTAACATTATTACTTTGTGACATTTATGTTAAATTCTTCAAATTCTGTGCAAGCAAGATGATATACTCATTTCCTACCCACAAAAATACACTTAGGTGAGATCTCAGTAGAAAATGAGAACCTAATATCTTAATATTACATGAAGGAAGAAATAAAATTTATTCATCACAAAAATCGGCTAATTAGTAACAATAGTAATATTATTAATATGTCTTAATATTTACACTGCTCACCTGTAATAATTGAAAATGATCTAAATGTGTTCTTGGATCCAATTCAAAAATAAGGACATTATTTACACCAGATGAACGCCATCCATATGTATTTACACCAAATAAACAAAGAAAGAATATAAGGAGAAATGTTCCACGAAATAATCTTAAAGCTGGGAGATAATGTGGTGGTAATGGGCGTAAAAATATACCTAAGTAATGTAGTTAGAGAAAGAAAAACAAGATAAGCAAAGGAAAACTGCTTTTAACAAAAAATGTAATTATTACCGACATTATTAATATTATTATTGTCATTATTTGGCAATGAGTTACATGAGTTAAACAAATTCAACATTTTGCTCTTTGAAAATTCATCCACAAAGCGAAATAATCAATAGTTTAGTCGAAAATTATTGATAATAGTTCCATAAATCCTAATTGTTGAATACAATTTTTCTAAAAACGGTTTTTCCCAAGTGACTTGCCTTTTGTTACAAAATATAACAATAAATTGAAAAATGTATAGCGGCAAAAGAGCAATATATGAATAAATGAATCATTCTTTCTAAAAACATATGAAAATATTCTTTTCTTTTCTCTCAGTACTGTTAATACTGTGAGTAAAGAAAGCGAACTTCTGCTACGGCTTATTATCATAGTTTTTCTCAGTCTTGAACTAATAATTCACGAAATCATTTACTGTAGAATAGAAATGGATGGGTAAATGTCACTGAGATGTCCATACCAAAATGAAATAAACATTTACTGCTCTCACACTTTCAATGGCATGCTAATTAATGTCACATTGCAACAAGTAATCAATTAAAAATTGAAAGAATCTTTACAAAACCTCTCAACAAAAATACATCGAATTTTATGCTTCAGCGTTTTACTTCAGTAATCAGGTAATTATCGTCTGAGAAATAGAATAAGCTCTTATCATTTTTTTCAGATAGTGCAGTGACATATTAGCTAAAAACGCTGGGCTATTATTCACTGAGTTGCAATTTCGTACCCCCCCCCATTTCACCTAGTTTGATTGGGGCAATTGTATAGTACCACCAACTGTTACACTAAAAGCGTAGATCAAGAGTTAAATGAGTGAAGTCAAACTTAGTTAAAAAGTTACATTACATTAACTTTATTGTCATATTATAATAAGTAGACATTTTTGTTTGTATAGACTCATGTGGCGCATTTCACATCGATTCAACAAAAAGAATTTCATCATGTTTAAGCTAATTTAATGTTTTTTTCTGTGTTTTTTTAAAGTGCTTTAATCATAATTCATGAAATCCGCCCACTTTTCACGTTACTTAGTAAATCAATAAGGGAAAATTTTATTTACAACTTTATATTATTTTTATGTTTATTAAGCAGTAAATTTGAAGTAACGCGTTACTCCATCACCTTCACCCAGTGAATAGTATGAGAATAGGTGTGACATTTTTTTATTTTAAGAAATGATTCCTTTCTTTCATTGATCAAAAATTATTTCAACAAATAATTAGTAATACCACAAATTATATAAAATAGAAATAATTAAATAACAATATAATTTCTAATATGAACATTTCAGTGGAAAATTATGATTTATCTGAAGTTGAAAATGAATGAAATCATTAACACTGAAGAACAACTGTGAACACTTTCACGAATCGATACTTTTTGATAGTTCGACAACGCTGACTGATTGTAGCTAAACAGCTATTGAAAACCTAAAGGCACTGAACAATAGTATGGAACTCAGAACAGTTCATCTATTACCCCATCACACTTACAAACATCAGGCCTCGATGCGAGCACTTAACTTTTAAATCACTGAATCAGTATCTAATAGTTTTCATATTTAACTTCAGTCAATTCACAGTGGCTTACAAAAACAGATATACTTGGAACAGTTTTGCTTATAGCAAAGTGATCAGTTAAACACATTCAATGCAGTGAAATTTTCTTTAATTCACTATGTTCATTAAAATTTTTATTGTAACTTAAGAGAGAAACATCCGGTTGAACTAAAAAATAATCAAGATACTAAAAATTAATTATAAAGATTTTCTAATTTCTCTAGTTTTCCTTTATCATTGAGTGACAGTAATTTTTAGTCAATAATTACTGGTTGATACACGTACTAAATCTAATTAGGTATATACATCTTGTCAAAGTGTTAACAGTATGAGTTCTAATAACCATGAATGGAATTTTCACGTGATTTATTATCACGTCTTTAAAGATAAACATTTGGTGCAGAACTCTTGACTACATGTAGATGAGCAAAGCGATCAATCAATCTAAATTTTGTTTCTTAGTTATCACAGATTTGTTTACAAATTTAAATCAATTCATGAAATATATTTCGACAATTTTACTGTCTTCTAAGTCTACTTTATTTATCTATTCATTAGTTTATATTTAATCTTTAAAATAAGTGGAAGGGTTGTCCAAAACATATTTTTTTCTTGAAAACATGTAATTTTTCTGGACAACTTATATCACGTAATCAATGTACGATTAAGTGACTTGAAGAATGAAAAAGGAGACATTTTTAGAAAGTATTTGTGTATTTCTATATATTAATAAAAGTGGACAGAGTAAGGACAAGAATTGTAACGAGAGATATGAATTATTCATTAATTTTAGAGATTAATATTCGTTGTTAAGGTATAAATTAATTAAATATAATAATTTGCATTTCTATCCAGTTGGCAAGAATGTAGCGAATGATATAAGTGACAGTGCAAATATAAAAAAATCTTGGTTAGTAGAAATTGTGAGAATCGAAATATGGTTCATTATTTATAAGTAAATGAATATTCTATCAAAAGATATTTAGAACCAACATCTTTGTAGAAATGACAAATTAGCACTGATAATTACACAATATCAGTTAAGAACAATAAATAGTTATCCTTTTTTATGTAGAGTTCTGGTTTCGTTTTGCTGGAACTATATTACTGTATTATTCAGTTTTCATAATTAACCAACTTATTCTAATTAAATCTTCAATTATTTCCAGAATTTACATATGACTCATATCGAAATAACCTAAATGCTGAGAAGCATCTGGAGAGAATTAATTAATAATATACTTTCAAACGTATTAAGGTTTTGGTTGGAAGATTATTTACAAACTACATATAGCAAACTAATATTGCTGACTATTTATATCTAACAGAAACTTGCTAGTTTGCTTAGTTTCTTCGTTTATCTTATGAATTGGTTTTGTGGACTTACTTGTACTAATTACTAGTTACAGATTCTTTACTTCTCAGTGCATTGGCACAAATAAAGAATTCTCATTATGGGGAAGCTTTTGGTAATAATCTGACAAATAGCAGCGTACTTCTTTTGAAAGTTGTGCTGTTTACATGAATTAAGGCGAGAGCCTGAATTTCAGTTCAGATGAATTATAATTGTATTTCAACGATTAGTTAGCATGCGGAACATGCATAGTCATTATTAGTCATTCTAACGATCATGGACAATCTGTTGAATACATACGTAAATACATGAATTTTCTTTATTTCCAAATCTATATCAGTCATGTGTTAAGTAAATCTGAGTTGTTTACACTGTATTCATGAATACGTGATTAGATTAATATGTTTTTAAAACCCAGTAAAAAAAGACATGTAAAGTCTTTGCCAGTCAAGTCTTAATTTTTTTCTAAACAGATTAGCAACTGAATATTGTTGCACACCTGTCTCCTGACTTGGTATGTAGTTTAATCATGTGAACAATATCTAAAAGAGGTATGAATTGAAGGTAGTCATATCATTTTTTTATGCTAAATCTATAGACCACAATTTTCAGTACTACAGTAGTGAACGAAAACTCAGGTAAGGTAAGCCAATTTATTACTTTGCGCAAAATCACACAGTGCCTTCTTGAAATATGAAAATCATACACTGAATATATCATTTGCAAATCTTCCATCAGTTATCTTTTACAAACTCCATCATTTTTCTAATTATGTTGTTATTCCGATTGCTCTCCGCTTTCCTTTCTGTTCTCCTCATTTCAATCTTCTGCCGGTGCTTATTCCACTCCCTATCCCTGATAGATACTACTTATATCTTTCTACATAGAAGCTCACAGCACAGTATAAAAATTAATTCATCTGATTGCGAGAACAGGAAACATGATATAATGTAACACTGACTAGATCTAATATATTAATTACGTTGGTAAATATTTATATTGACATTTACCATTTCAGATATTTGGTGATATTTACCCTACCAACTGTCTGACGTACAAAATTTATGTGTTAATATAATTCTAATAACAATATCGAAATGTCTAGCCGATTTCACATGACTACATTAACATGAGTATTTTAAAAGAAACAACAAGAATTTTGTACAGATTATAAAAAAAGTGTCATTTAAACAAACTAAAATAAAATAATATTGAAAAGTGGAAGAAAATTGATTTAATTCTAAAAATAACGATAAAATGTCACAATCAGTGAAATAAACGGAAACTCCGCCTGGAGTCCCTCCGGGGGCTACTGCCGGTCCCAAGCCCGGATAAAGGAGGAGGGTTGGGCATGGGGTTAGCGTCCCCATCCCGTAGAAAACTAACTCGCTAAAAAAACGCTAACCAGAAAAAATTATTCAAACCTTTTAAACTCTGCCCTGGGAGTCAGAAGATCATCATTTAGAAGAATTATGACGCCTCATGATGAAAGCCGAATCCCTTCGGAAGTTACGAGGCCGATGCCCCTTCTGACAACCAGAGCGACCATTTATTTAGGTACATGGAATGTTCGTACAATGTGGGACACCGGAAGAGCCTTCCAGATTGCTGCAGAAATGAGAAGATACAACCTAGAGGTACTTGGGATCAGTGAAACACATTGGACACAAGTTGGACAACAACGACTAACTTCAGGAGAGCTCCTGTTATACTCCGGCCATGAAGAAGAAAATGCACCACATACACAAGGAGTTGCATTGATGCTGTCCAAACAAGCACAAAATGCACTTATAGGATGGGAATCTCATGGACCAAGGATCATCAAAGCCTCGTTTAAAACAAAGAAAGAGGGCATTTCAATGAACATCATCCAATGCTATGCGCCTACCAACGACTACAATGAAGACGCTAAAGATCAATTCTACAATAGGCTGCAGTCAATAGTCGAGAAGTGCCCAACAAAGGACCTGACCATTCTGATGGGAGATTTCAACGCCAAGGTTGGAACGGA